AGACTCTAACTTAGTTTATTCAGCTAGCTAATTTGGTACAGTATTCTTCCGTGAAAACCGTCCAGGGCACCTAGTCATATGACGCCACAGCCAGCTAGCATGCCGGCCTCCAACAACACGGTTTAGCACCAATACTCGGCCACAACAAACCACCAGTGTGTCAACACGCCAAGCAGATCATTCGTGTCCGTGTCTAATGTTGTGGGTTAGTCCCGACAGCTTGAGCGAGTCCGTCGTCAACTTATTCAGTCAGTTAGTTAGCTAGAATAGTTAGCATACTAGCTAGCCATTGCTTTCTGCCAACGAATAAACCCGTCCTCCCACAGCACGAACACACAGAGAGAGCCAAGCTAACATTAACTAGTCACCCATGTCCCGAATTCCCTTGAACGACTCTGGCTACCAGTATGTAAAAACAAAACACAAATGTAGGTTATAACTTACCCCTAGCAGCTACTGTTAGCTAGCCAAGTGCAAAGCTAGCCACTGAATCGATTCGGCCAGTTCGCGTCTGTTAGCTAGGTCGTTCCAGCTATTGTTTAGTAGCTATCCAGGTAGCAACAAGCTAGCTACATTTCGAGCACAGTAGCTACTTACTACCTAACGTTAACGCTTCAGACAATGAGGTTAGAAAAACAGCTGAATGGTAGGCATTATTGTATGTAATTATTGTAGGCAGCTAGCTGGCGTAATTACAGGTACTCTCAGGCGTGAAACAACTATCCACAGTTGCTAATAGTTACCAGTAGCTACCCGCTAGCTAGTCCAGGTAGTGGGTTAGCTAGCTTCGTGCTTCACCGGGCTCAGCCGAATACAACACTTACCTACAATAATTACATACAACAACCCACGATAACTACCTACAATACCTAACTACAATCTAAATACATAGTTTAAGCTTTACTCGACAAAGCTTAAACTATGTATATAAGCCATATAAGCCAAGCTTACCTCCCGCCAGAGAGAGACACAACCTCACCCGACAACGTAAACACACGTAAATAGCAGTGCAGATGGCACTCTTTTGCTAAGTGCAGCGATGTATTATAAGTAATGAATCTGTAGGGGACTTCTGCTAACGCTACAGACTTTGTGGCGCAGCAGAAAGTTCAGTGTCCCCAAATCCACAGATTATGAGTTCACATCCTAGGTGGTGTCATATTGGAAAGTCAGCACTAAGTGATCATGTTAAATGTAATGATATTGATTAAAGATGTTTACATTATTTTGGCTGAACAGCGTACCACTGACCCTAAAACCCCCATACCATTTAAATATTTCCCTTACAAAAAAAGAATGTAAAATGTGCCTTATTAACAAATAGCTGTTTTCACATGTTGAGCTGAAATGTTCACGTGAAAACAAAATAGACATGAGAGGTCAGTAGTTCACATGTGAAACCATTTGTTCACATGTATTACATTTAGAGTTCATACAGTATTTTAAGACCACCTTTTCACATGTGAGGAGAATAACATGGATACACCTCACATGTGAATTACAAAAACTTTCAAAAGTGAAAACCTAATTCTCACATGTGGAACGTTCAAATGTTTTCACGTGTATTTTCATGTTTATTACATGTTGCTTTTACATGTTGTCACATGTTATCACATTAACTTCACATAAGATCACGTGATAACTTGTGATAATATGAAATTCATGTCGTTTTTCCGTAAGAGTAAGGGCCCCCTAGAGGTCCTTGCGGGCCAAACCAAACGTCGGGCCCCAGTTTGGTCGGCCCAGCTATACAGCCAAAACATAAGTGCTTTCCTCCTGCCACACCTGAAAAAATCATCAACTGTTTTCAAACCCGATTGCTATGTCAGTAAATAATGTATTAAGATATGAATGGGAGCCACTCCAGATCACTAATTTGGCAAATGGATGTAAAACAGCACCAACACGAGCAGATCTACATCTGGGATGCTCTGTTTTAATCAGCTGTCTGCTTGAAATGATCATATGTGGTCCTGCAGTTATGGATTTTAGCTTTCTGTGGTTCTGAAGTGTTGGGAGAGGTTAGCTGCACATTGTTGCTGCTTCCATCTCCTTTGAAGTATTACTAGCTGGTTCTTCTGTTGTCTTTTATTCAGTATTCATTCCCCTTGGCGTTTTTCCTATTTTGTTGCATTACAACCTGTAATTTAAATGGATTTTTATTTGGATTTCATGTAAGGAACATCCACAAAATAGTCCAAATTGGTGAAGTGAAATGAAAAAAATTAGAAACAATAAATAACGGAAAAGTGGTGCGTGCATATGTATTCACCCCTGTTGCTATGAAGCCCCTAAATAAGATCTGGTGCAACCAATTACCTTCAGAAATCAAATAATTAGTTAAATAAAGTCCACCTGTGTGCAATCTAAGTGTCACATGATCTGTCACATGATCTCAGTATATATACACCTGTTCTGAAAGGCCCCAGAGTCTGCAACACCACTAAGCAAGGAGCACCACCAAGCAAGCGGCACCATGAAGACCAATGAGCTCTCCAAACAGGGCAGGGACAAAGTTGTGGAGAAGTACAGATCAGGGTTGGGTTATAAAAAAATATCAGAAACTTTAAACATCCCACAGAGCACCATTAAATCCATTATTTAAAAATGGAAAGAATATGGCACCACAACAAACCTGCCAAGAGAGGACCGCCCACCAAAACTCACGGACCAGGCAAGGAGGGCAGTAATCAGAGAGGCAACAAAGAGACCAAAGATAACCCTGAAGGAGCTGCAAAGCTCCACAGCGGAGATTGGAGTATCTGTCCATAGGACCACTGTAAGCCGTACACTCCACAGAGCTGGGCTTTACAGAAGAGTGGCCAGAAAAAAAGCCATTGCTTGAAGAAAAAAATAAGCAAACAAGTTTGGTGTTCGCCAAAAGGCATGTGGGAGACTCCCCAAACACATGGAAGAAGGTACTCGGGTCAGATGAGACTAAAATGTAGCTCTTGGCCATCAAGGAGAACGCTATGTCTGGCGCAAACCCAACACCTCTCATCAACCCGAGAACACATTTTTACATTTTTGTCATTTAGCAGACGCTCTTATCCAGAGCTACTTACAGTTAGTGAGTGCATACATTATTTATTTTATTTTATTCCCCGTGGGAATCGAACCCACAACCCTGGCGTTGCAAACACCATGCTCTACCAACTGAGCTACATCCCTGCCGGCCATTCCTCCCCTACCCTGGACGACGCTGGGCCAATTGTGCGCCGCCACAGTGAAGTATGGTGGTGGCAGCATCATGCTGTGGGGATGTTTTTCATCGGCAGGGACTGGGAAACTGGTCAGAATTGAAGGAATGATGGATGGTGCTAAATAGAGGGAAATTCTTGAAGGAAACCTGTTTGTCTTCCAGAGATTTGAGACTGGGACGGAGGTTCACCGTCCAGCAGGACAATGACCCTAAGCATGCTGCTAAAGCAACACTCAAGTGGTTTAAGGGGAAACATTTAAATGTCTTGGAATGGCCTAAAAGCCCAGACCTCAATCCAATTGAGAATCTGTGATATTACTTAAAGATTGCTGTACACCAGCGGAACCCATCCAACTTGAAGGAGCTAAAGCAGTTTTGCCTTGAAGAATGGGCAAAAATCCCAGTGGCTAGATGTGTCAAGCTTATAGAGTTGCAGCTGTAATTGCTGCAAAAGGTGGCTCTACAAAGTATTGACTTGGGGGGGGGGGGGGGGGGGGTTGAATAGTTATGCACGCTCAAGTTCTGTTTTTTTGTCTTATTTCTTGTTTGTTTGACAATAAAAAAGATTTCGCATCTTCAAAGTGGTAGGCATGTTGTGTAAATCAAATGATACAACCCCCCAAAAAATCAATTTTAATTCCAGGTTGTGAGGCAACAAAATAGGAAAAATGCCAAAGGGGGTGAATACTTTCGCAAGCCACTGTAGAATGCCCTTCGATTACTTTTAAAACTATTTTCTATAGCTGTCCTTTTTGCCACTCATGTTATGGAAGACCACATTAGATGTTTTTACAGTTCCTAGTCAATAATCGGAATTAGAAAACCAATACCAATGGTAGGTGTAATTTCAACAGACATAAGGAGTCATCATGATATTCCAGGATTGCTGGAGAATTTTTTATATTTTTAAGTGGCCTGTAAACTGAAGTAGAGTATTGATTAGGAGTTTCTGGATTAGATGTTTTTCCATCTCTCTAATAGAAAAGGTTGGGGGTTGGCTAATGTGATTCTATATCTGGTTAAGGGCAACTGTGATGCGTGTGATAGAAGGAGTCAGGTGCAGGAGAGTAATACGCATCCAAAGAGTTTATTCCGTCGATAAACAGTTGCGCAAGCATGCGACAACAAAACTCAGGCACAGGAGAAATATCTACCCTGGCAACAACAAGGTAAGGGTAGCTCAACCGAGCTACATGCAGCTCACTACAAACAATCACCCACACAGTCAAGGAAGCAGAGGGAACACTTATACAATGACTAATTGGGAATAAGGACCAGGTGTGTGTGATTAATTAGACAAGACAAGTGGAGTGATGATAAATGGATCGGCAGCAGCTAGTAAGCCGGTGACGACGAACGCCGAAACCTGCCCGAACAAGGAAGAGAGGCAGCCTCGGCGGAAGTCGTGAAAGCAACTTTTCCCTCAAGTAAACTAAAGGTCTGTGACATGTCTGCTTGTGTCTTCATTTTGACATTATCCCTCTTCCCTGTCCTTTCATGTCATGGCATTTGTTCCACTAGGTGAATATGAACTTTCAATTATAATCCCTTGGACTACATTTCTGACCAAGAATGTAAAAGCTACTCTATCTTTGTACTTTATACCATCTTTGATGTCACAAGCCATTTAAAAGAAATCCACTACCTTGTTGAGACACAGTAACATGTTGGTAGGGAATGAACCCATCTAAATGTGCTGTATCTTGGTGCTCTGAAATGAGATGATTTAGAGAGAAAGAAAGGGAGGGAGCGAGAGATAGAGAAAGAAAGAGGTAGTACAGCAAATCCCTTTGAAATTATGCCTGGGTTGGTGGCATTTCTAGCAGGCGGGCAGGAACAGGGAGCAGGCAGAGAGCGGGTGGAGAGCGGAGTGGGTGGCGGGGCGCGATCTCCATCTGATGATGTGAGTGGGCGATATGACACGCTGGGTCGAGGGCTGTCTCGATGGAAACACCAGTGCCAGAGTCATGTAATGGAAGGAACCGCTGATGGATTGATGAAGGAATATGGAGGGAGGGAGGGAAGAAGGAAGATGGAGGGAGATAGGAGAAATGAAGGAAGATGGCTGGTTCTTTTACGTGTGGCAACATAAAATGGCTGTACAGCACACGAGTCTATTTTCCATCTATGTTGTTGGACAGTTTGCTGTAGCTAAAGGAAAAGGTATACAGTATACAAAACACACAATGCATCTGAGTCTGGAAAACTTTTTTTCTGTAACATAGGATTGCCATGGGTCCATACTGAGTGCTATATCTGTCGCAGGTACTTAGGCAGTGAAATAATAAATATGTTTTTATGGGCTTAGTTCCTTTTAAAGCCAACAATATGTGCCCTCTAGCCTTGTGAGGAGCAGGCTTAACGGCTGATCCCTTATCTATGGTGGTAAAACACATCGGACAATGCCTAGTCCGCTCACTCTCCACCATGTGTGTTTGCACATTTAAGCACTGGGGGGACTTTCTTTCATTTTACATTTTTGTCATTTAGCAGACACTCTTATCCAGAGCGACTTACAGTTAGTGAGTCCATATATTATTATTTTATTTTTCATACTGGCCCCCCGTGGGAATCGAACCCACAACCCTGGCGTTTCAAACGCCATGCTCTACCAACTGAGCTACATCCCTGCCGGCCATTCCCTCCCCTACCCTGGACGACGCTGGGCCAATTGTGCGCCGCCCCATGGGTCTCCCGGTCGCGGCCGGCTACGACAGAGCTCTTTCATTCCATATCTGAATCTTTTCAACCAGCACGCTGTTGAAAACACATACTGACAATATTATTAACTTAATATCATAGTAATAAGTAACCTAGAAGTGGTTGAATCACTATTTGGCAATATTTTGCCACTAGCTGCAAGTTGTTATATTTTAAGTCAAGTCTTTAAAGGGAATTGAAAGATTTTGAATTCATTAGTAGCGTTGTGATAAAAATTTACCCTGAGATTATACAAAATCATGTTAATTCCATCTCCGGATAAGCTGTTAGCAGTAGAGAGATTCATTTTTTGAGCTCATCTTAAGACAGCACTTTGGACTGTACGAGTCATTCTGAGCAAGAAGTTCTAAACCTTCCAACTAAATTACAGTGTCCTTGAGCAGCTGGTGACAAGTAGAGCAAGGTCCTTTTCTCTCCCTAATAACTTCCAGATAGAGAGCCCTACTCCAGTCTGGAAATGAGGCTGTAGCCCCGGCTGTAGAGAGAATAAAGCTAAATTACTATACAGGCACTTGATTTGGCTCTGATCGCTGCCTGATCTTTCATTGCTATACCTTTACCTTAATTGAACTTCCTCAGTGTCGCTGTCAGGGGCGACATGTATGCGGTGAGTGAAGTCAAGCGCAGGACACAGAGATACTAGCAGACATACTTTACTAATAGTAAAGAACATACAAAACAAAACCTCCTAACAGGGAGGAAAACAAATACACGTATACGACAAAACAGCAATGCCGATACAGCCTAGACACAAAACAATAACACACAATACCAAACGAGAGACATGGGTAAATATAGGGACTATAATCAAAACATAATAGACAACAGGTGTAACCACTCAAGACAGAACTAGACAAACACCGAAACATCGATCGGCAGTAGCTAGTACTCCGGGGACGACGAACGCCGAAGCCTGCCCGAGCAAGAAGGAGGAGCAGCCTCGGCAGAATCCGTGACAGTATCCCCCCCCCCCCCCTTGACGCGCGGCCCCAGCCGTGCGCCGACTCCAGCCTCGGGGACGGCCAGGAGGACGCGGAGCAGGGCGAGTCGGATGACTCCGGTGGAACTCCGTCAACAGGGAGGGATCTAGGATGTCCCTCCTAGGGACCCAGCACCGTTCCTCCGGACCGTACCCCTCCCACTCCACGAGATACTGCAGACCCCCCATCCGACGTCTCGAATCCACGATGGAACGGACTGAGTACGCCGGAGCCCCTTCGATGTCTAGTGGGGGCGGAGGAGCCTCTTGTATCTCATTCTCCTGGAGTGGACCAGCTATCACCAGCCTGAGGAGAGACACATGGAACGAGGGGTTAATGCGGTAATTTATGGGCAGTTGTAACCTATAACATACCTCGTTCAATCTCCTCAGGACTTTAAATGGCCCCAAAAACCGCCGACCCAGCTTCCGGCAGGGCAGGCGAAGGGGCAGGTTTTGAGTCGAGAGCCAGACCCAATCTCCAGGTGCATAAACTGGACCCTCACTGTGGTGGCGATCAGCGCTCGCCTTATGCCTACTGATAGCCCGCTGCAGATGGACATGCGCAGCGTTCCATGCGCAGCGCCGAAACCACTCATCTACCGCAGGAGCCTCGATCTGGCTCTGATGCCAGGGTGCCAGGACCAGCTGATACCCCAACACACACTGAAAAGGAGTAAGATTAGTGGAGGAGTGGCGAAGTGAGTTTTGGGCTATCTCTGCCCAGGGGATATACCCCAACAAACTCCCCCTGCCGGTCCTGGCAATAGGACCTCAGAAACCTACCCACATCCTGGTTTACTCTCTCCACCTGCCCATTACTCTCAGGGTGAAAACCCGAGGTAAGGCTAATCGAGACACCCATCAGACACTATATCCTCAGGCACCCCGTAGTGCCGGAAGACGTGGGTAAACAAGGCGTCGGCCGTTTGTAGGGGTGTAGGGAGACCTGGCATTGGAATGAGACGGCAGGCCTTAGAAAACCGATCCACAACGACCAAGATCGTGGTATTCCCCTGGGAGGGGGAAGGTCCGTGACAAAATCCACCGATAGGTGAGACCACGGCCGTTGTGGAACGGGTAGAGGTTGTAACTTCCCTCTGGGCAGGTGTCTAGGCACCTTACACTGAGCGCACACCGAACAGGAAGAAATGTAAACCCTCACGTCCTTAGCCAAGGTGGGCCACCAGTACTTCCCGCTAAGGCAGTGCACCGTTCAATCAATACCCGGATGACCAGAGGAGGGAGACGTGTGAGCCCAATATATCAGTCGATCACGGACCTCGAGCGGCACGTACTTTCGCCCCTCTGGACACTCAGGAGGAGTAGGGTCTGTACGTAACGCCTGCTCGATCTCCGCATCGACCTCCCACACCACCGGTTCCACTAGACAAGACTCTGGAAGTATGGGAGTGGGCTCAATGGACCTCTCCTCTGTGTCATATCGCCGGGACAGGGCGTCTGCCTTCACGTTCTGTGACCCTGGTATATACGTGAGCTTAAATACAAACCGGGCAAGAAACATGGCCCACCTAGCCTGACGAGGGTTCAGTCTCCTCGCTGCCCGGATGTACTCCAGGTTACGATGGTCAGTCAGAATGCGGAAAGGGTGTTTAGCCCCCTCAAACCAATGCCTCCACACCTTCAGGGCTTGAACCACCGCTAGCAGCTCCCTGTCCAAAACCCCGGATAAACCTCCGGTAGTAATTGGCAAAACCCAAAAACCGCTGCACCTCCTTAACCGTGGTGGGAGTCTGCCAATTACACACGGCTGAAACGTGGTCAATCTCCATCTCCACCCCTGACGCGGACAACCAATGTCCCAGGAAGGAGATGGACTCCTGGAAAAACAGGCATTTCTCCGCCTTCACATACAAGTCATGCTCCAACAGTCTACCCAACACCCGACGCACCAGGGACACATGCTCGGCTCGTGTAGCGGAGTATATTAGAATGTCATCAATATACACCACTACACCCTGTCCATGCAAATCCCGGAAAATCTCGTCCACAAATGATTGGAAGACTGAAGGAGCATTCATTAAACCGTATGGCATGACGAGATACTCATACTGACCTGAGGTGGTACTAAATACTGTTTTCCATTCATCTCCCTCCCTAATGCGCACCAGTTTGTAAGCGCTCCTGAGATCCAATTTTGTAAAGAATCACGCCCCGTGTAATGACTCCGTCATACTCGCAATCAGAGGGAGAGGATAGCTGTATTTAATGGTAATCTGATTGAGACCACGGTAATCAATACACGGGCGCAAACCCCCATCCTTCTTCTTCACAAAAAAGAAACTCGAGGACGCAGGAGAAGTGGATGGCCTTATGTATCCCTGTCCCAGAGATTCAGTGACGTATGTCTCCATAGCTGCCGTCTCCTCCTGAGACAGAGGATACACATGACTACGAGGAAGTGCAGCGCCTGCCTGGATGTCTATCGCACAATCCCTCTGTCTATGAGGTGGTAATTGAGTCGCCCTCTTCTTACTGAAGACGAGTGCCAAATCTGTATACTCAGGAGGAATGTGCATTGTGGGCATTTGGTTCGGACTTTCCACCGTCGTTGCCCCTACGGAAACACCTATACACCGCCCGACACACTGATCAGACCATTCCCTGAGAGCCCTCTGTTGCCATGAAATGTTGGGGTCATGAGATATTAACCAGGGAAGCCCCAACACCACGGGAAACGCAGGAGAGTCAATCAAATACAACTGTATAATCTCCTCATGACCCCCCTGCGTCTTCATCTTAAGTGGCGCTGTGACCTCCCTAATCAATCCCGACCCAAAAAGGCGGCTGTCTAGGGCATGGATGGGGAAGGGCACATCAACTGGTATAAGGGGAATCCCTAACTTATACGAGAAACAGCGATCGATAAAATTCCCAGCTGCGCCTGAATCGACTAGCGCCTTATGCTGGGAGTGAGAAGAAACCTCGGGAAACACAACTTTAATACACATGTGTACAACAGAGAGCTCTGGGTGAGTTGGGTGCTTACTCACCTGGAATGACTCATCAGTGCGTGGCCTGCTGCCTCGATCCCTAGGAGACCCTCCCCAGCACCGAACCGCAGTGTGTCCTCTGCGGCCACAGTTGGTGCAGGGGACGGCCTCTCTCCTGGTCTCTCTCCTCTTCTCTCTAGCACCAGCACCCCATGGAGCTCGGCTCAGAGGTGCTGGGGGATGGAATGGACGGCCCCAACTCCGGACGTCCGCTGGTAGCCAACAGGGTATCCAGACGAATCAACATGTCCACCAGCTGATCGAAACTTAGGTTGGTGTCCTTGCAGGCCAACTCTCGGCGAACGTCCTCCCTTAGGCTGCACCTGTAGTGGTCGATGAGGGCCCTCTCATTCCATCCCGCATTGGCAGCCAGAGTCCGGAAATCCAGTGCGAAATCCTGCGCGCTCCTCCTCCCCTGTCTGAGGTGGAACAGACGCTCACCCGCCGCTTTCCCCTCTGGGGGATGATCGAAAACCGCCCTGAAGCATAGCTGACTGTAGCGGCGTCTATTCCCCTCCACTCGGCGTTGGCCCACTCCAGTGCCTTGCCGGACAGACAGGAGATGAGGGTGGAAACGCTCTCGTATCCCGAGGGCGCCGGGTGGATGGTTGCCAGGTAGAGTTCTACTTGGAGCAGGAAACCCTGACACCCGGCCGCGGTGCCATCATCAGCCCTCTGGAGCGAGAGCCGAATCCCACTGGACTCCGGAGATGGAACGATGGGTATGGCTGATGGTGGTGGTATCGTTGGAGGAGGTGTGGGCAAACCTCCTCTCTCCCATCGCCTCAAGGTGTCCATCACCCCTTGCATGGCGGTGCCCAGGTCCTGGATCATGGCTACTTGGTGGATTATGCGCTCCTCCAGTGATCCCGTTGGCACCGCCGATCCTGCTGACTCCATGATGGTGTGTTATTCTGTCAGGGGCGACGTGTATGCGGTGAGTGAAGTCAAGCGCAGGACACAGAGATACTAGCAGACATACTTTACTAATAGTAAAGAACATACAAAACAAAACCTCCTAACAGGGAGGAAAACAAATACACGTATACGACAAAACAGCAATGCCGATACAGCCTAGACACAAAACAATAACACACAATACCAAACGAGAGTCATGGGTAAATATAGGGACTACAATCAAAACATAATAGACAACAGGTGTAACCACTCAAGACAGAACAAAACAAACACCGAAACATCAATCGGCAGTAGCTAGTACTCCGGGGACGACGAACGCAGAAGCCTTCCCGAGCAAGGAGGAGGAGCAGCCTCGGCAGAATACGTGACAGTCGCTGAGAAGGGCAGATGATTCAAGGCTTTGATCCGTGAGATGAGGTCCAAAAAAATATTAAGCCAGGTCACAAGTTCATGTAGCAATATTGGCTATATTTTCAGACTTCCTCCATTTTATTGACTTTATTGACTTTTCTGATGATGATGTTGTGCATCTTGCTGTACAGTAAAGCATGTGGATTTTGATACATTTACCGATGTGGAGATACCTCTGCTTTTTATGTTTGACTGTTCAATTATTTCCTGATGAGATTTTTGGACTAAATGCTAAATAGGCTTAAGTTACATTGCCTTCAGCAAAACACACTGCCCCCTCACTAGATCATTAATGTATACCTTTCATGTTGAACACTGTTTGTGTCCACAGTCAGTTTATCTTGATTAGATCAGACTTTATAACCCAGATATGAACAAACCTCTCCTTCAGAAACACCATTGTAAATCTTTATGAAATCATGAAAAAAACACCCTATGATGTTGATCCTAATTTTGCAAAAGCCTCCATGTTGCAGCCTTGAATAAGCCCTTTAGTCAAAATCATAGCACAGATTTCTCTTTGATCCACCCCAAAGTGTATTTGATGATGGGAACAAACACAAGGACTTTGTCCGGCTAATTGGGGTGTTATTTTGTTTGCTAGGACACCATCTGAAACAGTCTCTGTGTGTGTGTGTGTGTGTGTGTGTGTTGTGGTACTGTTGGGACCCACGGCCCCAGCTGTAGGCCCTGTATGATAGAATTACCCTGTTGATTTATGTGACGTCCTCCTCCCTCCCTACACCAGAGACACAGCTGGACGTGGGAGGGCATTAGGGATGTACTTTTAAACCCACGTACAGTTCCAACGTACCAATACGCTTTGATTTAAAATATACAATGTTATGCCAATTAAATAACATTCCCTTTGAATGTGTTCAGTTCTATCAAATTATCATAAATTCTCTCCAATGTACACTGTCTACAGTTATGCAAATTTATTTATAGGTAAAATGTTTATGAGTGGGTTTTATTGTATAGTTACAATATACATCTGAAATACATTCTTATTATACATTCTGACTGTATTGATTCAGATTACTCTCAATATAAAGGGTTTCTGGTGTGATATTTGCAATTCTTTCCTCAGGTAAAGAATGTGTTGGACCAAGAGGGCTTCGGCCGACAGAAGCGAGGCTACAGAAGCATTAATGAAATTCATTTCAAAATGACCGACCCCCTATTCAGCAAACAGTGGTATCTGGTGAGTGGTTATCATTCATCCTAACAAGCTCATATTTCCTGACCTTTTATATCAGCCTCCATTATACTGTTTTAGCCACTGATCACTGATCCCAGACATATTCACTGCTTCTCCTCCTATGGAGATTATGCATTTTCATTAGGCCAGTCAATATTGCCCATGCCATCTCATCTCCCCGTTCATGTCAGCCCCCTCCCCCAATGTTTACCCTAAACTGACAAGTATGACTTTCTTCCGGGGCCAATATGCCTTCCTTTATTCCACTTGTCAGATTAAACGCTCCCCAGTAGGTTCCCAGCAAAGTGCCATATCCGTGACATTTACTTTTCCCCCTCCCTCCCTCCCATCCTAGACATCTCATCTCTTCCTCCCCCTTCCTTCCCCTTATCTTCCTCCATGTTGAGTAATTCTCTAATGACCGCTCGGCTGGGTGTCCTGCGTCATGGCCTGTCTCCATATTGTTTGTGTGACTGATTAGATCAACACTGGCCAGGCTGATGGGACCCCCGGACTCGACCTCAATGTGGCTGAGGCTTGGGGACTGGGCTACACCGGGAGAGGCATCACCATAGCTATTATGGACGATGGTGGGTACCGGTATAGGCCTTACAGTTGAAGTTGAATCACTATCTCAGTAGAGATCATCACTGGGAGTGTAGTTCTGGGCTGGAGCTAAATTCTTTACACTAGGGGTGTCAAATTTATTTTGACTGGGGGCAACATTCGGTCTTCACCAAGGTCCGGACGGTTGCACGGAAAATCGGTTATATTTCCTCACTGTCAAAATTTGAAATTAACAAAAGTCTGCTATCCATGTTTCTTTTGAATTTTTGATTTGCCCTCAATGTTGAGCTTTCTTTTCGGTGATTGTTAGCAAGCTGGACAGAGTGAAGAGACTATAATGTAGAGCAACTATCATTTCTACACAGTTTCGATTTGGTTTTAGTAATAGATTGACGTCGTATTTTTATTTTGTCAAACCACCCATGGGCCACATTGAAATGGCTCGCTGGCCAGGGGCTGTATGTTTGATATCCCTGCTTTACACCCTGTAGCTCTTCAAGACCAGAGTTGGCCAGTACACAGTGTGTCGATTAGAAATAGATTTAAAGGTATTATTCATCCACTTGTTATTGTGGTTAATTATAGTTCATTGTGACAAGGTATCCACATGTGGTTAATTAACTAATTACCTTTTGAATAAATTACATGTACAGCGTACATGTACAGACCAGCTCCCAATTAGAATGTAATAAGCACAACGTAAAATCAAAGTCTCCATTTCCTGTTTGAGATTTTCTTATAAAAGTCAAAATCTCCCATCAAGACCTGTATTATTTTAAAGAAAAACTTATAGCATTACCTCATTAATTTCTGTTGAAATTATATTTCAGGGATCGACTATCTCCACCCAGATCTAGCATCAAACTACGTAAGTACTTGATCATTTCACAATCTTCTCCTCTAATTCCCTGTATTGCTGTTTTGAAATAAAATCACGCCTTGAAGTGCCGGTTTTGGCAGGTCTGTTGTTGAATGCCAGTGGCGGTGCCAGTTGCAGGTGTATTCCAAGTTTTCTGCATGGTTGGCAAGTCTCCTTGTGTCCTTGGAGGACAGGGAGACGGGCAGCCGGCCAGCCAAGCTGTTTAATGTTAATGCGCTTACCACTGTGGCAGGCGGGATGGCAGGCCGATCTGTCACTAGCACAGATAATGCCAGGGTAGCTAGCGCCTCATAATGTGATGCTCCAACTCCAGAATATTGATAATAACACCTCAAAGAACTGACAGTGTTACTGCCAAGAAAGCGGGAAAAGAGGAAGGAGTAAAAGTAAGGAACTCCCTCTTTGAAGAGTATCTTAAATAACTCTCACTGCGCACCCACGCTCCCATCCCCCCAAAAATCGAACTTGTCTTTTCCTACTAGCACTGACTTTGCTTATTTTTAATTTAATTTAATTGAACCTTTATTTAACCAGATAAACCAGTTGAGAACAAGTTCTCATTTACAACTGCGACCTGGCCAAGATAAAGCAAAGCAGTGCGATAAAAACAACAACAACACAGAGTTACATATGAGATAAACAAAAACGTACAGTCAATAACACAACAGAAAATCTATATACAGTGTGTGCAAATGTAGTAAGTTATGGAGGTAAGGCAATAAATAGGCCATAGTGCAATATAATTACAATTTAGTATTAACACTGGAATGATAGATGTGCAGAAGATGATGTGCAAATAGAGATACTGGGGTGCAAATTAGCAAAATAAATAACAATATGGGGATGAGGTAGTTGGGTGGGCTAATTACAGATGGGCTGTGTACAGGTGCAGTGATCGGTAAGCTGCTCTGACAACTGATGCTTAAAGTTAGTGAGGGAGATAAGAGTCTCCAGCTTCAGAGATTTTTGCAGTTTGTTCCAGTCATTGGCAGCAGAGAACTGGAAGGAATGGCGGTGAAAGGAGGTGTTGGCTTTTGGGATGACCAGTGAGATATACCTGCTGGAGCACATACTACGGGTGGGTGTTGCTATGGTGACCAATGAGCTAAGATAAGGCAGGGATTTGCCTAGCAGTGATTTATAGATGACCTGGAGCCAGTGGGTTTGGCGATGATTATGTAGTGAGGGCCAACCAACGAGAGCGTACAGGTCACAATGGTGGGTAGTATATGGGTCTTTGGTGACAAAACGGATGGCACTGTGATAGACTACATCCAATTTGCTGAGTAGAGTGTTGGAGGCTATTTTGTAAATGACATCGCCAAAGTCATTTGACAGGCCTCCTGTAGCTCAGTTGGTAGAGCATGGCGCTTGCAACGCCAGGGTTGTGGGTTCGATTCCCACGGGGGGGCCAGGTATGAAAAATGTATGCACTCAATAACTGTAAGTCGCTCTGGATAAGAGCGTCTGCTAAATTACTTAAATGTAAGTCAAGGATTGGTAGGATAGTCAGTTTTACGAGGGCATGTTTGGCAGCATGAGTGAAGGAGGCTTTGTTGCGAAATAGGAAGCCGATTCTAGATTTAACTTTGAATTGGAGATGCTTAATTTAAAATTTTGATTTCACCTTTATTTAACCAGGTAAGCCAGTTGAGAACAAGTTCTCATTTACAACTGCGACCTGGCCAAGATAAAGCAAAGCAGTGCGATAAAAACAACAACACAGAGTTTCATATGGGGTAAACAAAACATAAAGTCAAAAATACAACAGAAAATATATATACAGTGTGTGCGAATGTAGTAAGTTATGGAGGTAAGGCAATAAATAAATAGGCCATAGTGCAAAAATAGTTACAATTTCGTAATTAACACTGGAATGATAGATGTGCAAAAGATGATGTGCAAATAGAGATACTGGGGTGCAAATTAGCAAAATAAATAAATATGTGAGTCTGGAAGGAGAGTTTACGGTCTAACCAGACACCTAGGTATTTGTAGTTGTCCACATATTCTAAGTAAGACCCGCCAAGAGTAGTGATTCTAGTCGGGTGGGCGGGTGCAAGCAGCGTTCGATTGAAGAGCATGCATTTAGTTTTACTAGCGTTTAAGAGCAGTTGGAGGCTACGGAAGGAGTGCTGTATGGCATTGAAGCTCGTTTGGAGGTTTGTTAACACAGTGTCCAATGAAGGGCCAGATGTATACAAAATGTTGTTGTCTGCGTAGAGGTGGATATGAGAGTCACCAGCAGCAAGAGCGACATCATTGATATACACAGAGAATAGAGTCGGCCCAAGAATTGGGGGGGGGGGGGCTTCGGCAAGTTGCAGCAGAGGTTGCAGAGCTGATTGCCAGGGTAGGGGTAGCAGGTAGAAAGCATGGCCAGCCGTAGCAAAATGCTTGTTAAAATTTTTGATTATTGTAGATTTATCGGTAGTGACAGTGTTTCCTAGCCTAAGTACAGTGGGCAGCTGGGAGGAGGTGCTCTTATTCTCCTTGGACTTTATAGTGTCCCAAAACTTTTTGGAGTTAGTGCTGCGGGATGCAAATATCTGTTTGAAAAAGCTAGCCATTGCTTTCCTAACTGATTGTGTATATTGGTTCCTGACTTCCCTGAAAAGTTGCATATCGCGGGGGCTGTTTGATGCTAATGCAGTACGCCACAGGATGTTTTTGTGCTGGTCAAGGGCAGTCAAGTCTGGGGTGAACCAGGGGCTAAATCTGTTCTTAGTTCAGAATTTTTGAATGGGGCATGCTTATTTAAGATGGAGAGGAACGCACTTTTAAAGGACAACCAGGCATCCTCTACTGACGGAATGAGGTCAATATCCATCCAGGATACCCGGGCCAGGTCAATTAGAAAGGCCTGCTCGCTGAAGTGTTTTAGGGAGTGTTTGACAGTGATGAGGGGTGGTCGTTCGACTGTGGACCCATTACGGACGCAGGCAATGAGGCAGTGATCGCTGAGATCCTGGTTGAAGACAGCGGAGGTGGTCGTCGCAACGGGAAGCCTGTTGAAACCACATCAGACGGTTACGTCGGCAGACCAGTCGGTCGTGATGGATCGGCGGGGCTCCGTGTCAACACTTGGAGGTCCCGTCCCGTTGACAGAGAGGTAGATAGCCGGGAGATGGGCCTGGCTCGAGGCTAACTCAAGGCTAACTGGGGCTTGCTTCGGGACAGTGGTGATTAGCCAACAACAACAACAGCCATTTGGTTGCAGCTAACTAGTTGCGATGATCCGGTGTTAAGGTCCAGTGATTCAGTGATTCCAGCAGAAAATCCTATATGCTCTGGCTCAATAGCGCGATATGCAGACTGGCCGATAATTGTCCAGGCTAGAGCTGGCTGATAGGTAGTGCAGGCCACAGACAATGGTGAAGACCGCTAACGGTGGCTAATAGCAAGTAGCTAGATAGCTGGCTAGCTGGCTAGTTTCAGCTGGAGGTTCTAGATAAAAAGTTGTTGTATAAAGAAAAAATTGAATCCGTTCCACATTGGGTGAAGCGGGTTGCAGGAAAGTATATTTAGGATGGAAAGTGAGATTGAGAAATATATACGAAAAAGACAAAAAAACTAAAAACTGGCTATTTACATGAGGACACTACAGAAAACACGACCGGACTGCTACGCCATCTTGGACCAGCTTATAAATACTTTGTTGAGGGAAAATGTAATTGATACGATTGTGATATGTTTTTGTCTCACCTAGCTATCTTAAGATGAATGCACTAATTGCAATTCACAATGGATAAGAGCGTCTGATAAATGACTAAAATGTAAATGTAAAAATGGAACTCTGACTATTAACATTGCAGTACTAGTGAACATCTCCGGACTATGTACTCAATAAGCTCAGTGTTAAATGGCCAACTGATTAAATCCTGAAATGGCTGTTTTGTTTTGACTGATAGTGAGAGCTGTGAATCTTATCGTGCCAGATCGGAGCCAATGACAGATGCGTTTATAGCAGGATGCCCAATGCTGATACAGGGAACCAGTCATGTCTTTTGTAAAACAGCACCATCCAATACTGTGTTCTTTTATGGAGACACAGTAATGAACAACACTGAAAGGCTTTGCTGCATAGATGTAGTGACACACACACACACACACACACACACACACACACACACACACACACACACACACACACACACACACACACACACACAGCCTTTCCTCCATCCCATTTTCTCTCTCCTTACATTTTGGAAAGATTTAGAGCTTCAGAGATGAGGTGGGAGGGAGAGAGAGGAAGGGAGAGAGTTGATTAAATGTAAACATTTTTCTTTCACTCTGAGGATATTGGAAAAAAGGGAGTTATTTCAAGACAGGCAAGGAAACTAGATCTCTTAGAGCCTCATACTGTGTGCAGTTCTACTCAGCTTTTCAGCTTTAAACTGTCAAAAAATTTATGGTTCATGCATGATTCCTGTGTGTGTGTGTGTTTATTTCTTGCCTGTGAACAGGGATGAGTCTTAGCCCCAAAATAGCCCACCGTGATTGTGGCAGTCGGGTTGATGCTGGAGGAGCATGCTCTGCTGGGCTAATGGATCATGCTGTGTAAGAATCTAAAACTAACTTAGTGCTACACATGTCCTGTGTGTGTGTGTGGTGTATTTTTGTGGTGTATTTGTGTGATATATATAAGTGTGTGTTTGTATAGATCTCTGTTTTCTGATCTTTTCATGCTGATCCTCTGCAGCAATAACAATGGGATGATTCCCCCAACCATCAGTGTAACTATAAGGCATTGAATATGCTATTCATCATTCAATTGAGGTTTATATAAATGTGTGTGAGTGTGTGTCTGAGTGTGTGTGTCTGAGTGTGTGTGTGTGTGTGTGTAAGAGGCTGATAAACTAATTTAGTGCATCTTCACGCTCTTCCAGGGCCGAAGTTGTTGGTTTATTTCTCTACCTATTTCCCCGAAGACTACAAACACTGCAATCAGCCACTATTGATTGGTCTTCATTAGTATGTGCAAGAGCACACGTTTATATATATATATATGTGTGTGTGTGTGTGTTTATGTGTGTGTGTGTAGGGATGCCACATTCTATAACACCTTGAATGAAATGGTTTTCTTGTACTAAATTATTTATCTTAATTTCGCCATTATCTTTGTGACAAAGAGTTGTTAAAGACCCAGTGCAGTCAGAAATGTGATTTACCTGTGTTTTATATATATTTCCACACTATGATGTTGGAATAATACTGTACAATTTTGAAAATTATGATAATGCCCTTTTAGTGGAAGAGATATTTGAAAAGACCGCCTGAAATTCAGCCTGTCTTGATGGGATGGAGTTTTGGCCTGCCTGGTGAATTAGTTAATAGACCAATAAGAAAGAGAGTTCCAAATCTCTCTGTCTATAACAGCTATTTTTCCAATTTCCCCTCCCCATTCAAACCACTCCCAGTCCTAGCTCTTCTCTAAGAAGCATATTTTGTTTCTTTTTGACCATTTTTATTGAAAACAATCACGATAAGGTACTTAATTGTTACCCAGAAATGTGATATTGAGATAGAAATGGCTGCATTGGAGCTTTTAGAATTTATGGCCTATTGAACGACAGTTAAATCCAAAACCAGTCAATGTAATTTCATGCCAGGCTCTCGCTCTGGATGGTGATGCACTCAATAAATAGGCAAGATTAGTAACTCTACCACAGTGGCATTGTCGTTACTATAATATGAAAGGTGAATGGAGGGTGTTTTCCAGGCGATGTTGTAAAGCTCGTTCACGAGTGCACAAATATAGTATGGCTCTGATTTATCAATGAAAACGTGTATATGTTGCGTGATAAACACAATAATTTGATGCACACGCAAATTCTAGAATCTCCACGTATGCCAGAATTTAGGGAGAAGGTTGATATATGAGACCCCAGGGAACTTTGACAAGGACATTCCATATTCAAAAGCTTCTGACCGTACAGCTCCTTTGCATTATTATACTTTGTTTGTTCATAATGAGAATATAATAAGTGGTGCTCAGAGAGATGGCCGATACAGAAAAGCAGTAGACTGTAGTGTTTGGCATCTTTTTGTCCCTGAGTCATTCCTATCCTGTTAAATGTCAACGGTATCTCACTAAGGTCTGAGCTGGCTTCTGGCCCGGTGAATGATCTGATGGGTTCAGCTCTATACTCCTAATGAGGACCGCCACACTCTCACCGCCATCTCCCTCATTTCTCTGGTGACGGGGCACACAACTCTGTAAAAACCCCATGAGTCACGAACGCCACCCAGAAAGACAACAAACTACGAATAGAGAAATGAGGGAGAATGGTGATTAGAAAAGACAGGGGCTTTTGATTGTGACTGAGATGAAGGAGAGAGGAAGATGAGAGAGAGAGGAGTGGAAAGTTATAAAGAGAGAGAGAAAGAGAGACTGACAAGAGACTTGTTGAAGGTGGCTGGTTGAACGTTTTTTGGTTAGAAGAGTGGAAAAAGAGGACGAGGAACGTGAAAGACAGAGTGGCTTTCAGACAACAAGAGAGTTTGAGGGAGACATCCTTTCAAGATTGTTTCGATATAGCAATGTCAAAGAGAAGCAAGTGCGATAGAAAAAGAGGGAGAGGTGTAAAAAGAGAAAAAGAGTTTGAGAGTAAAGAACAGATAGAGATTCCTGTAATGGTTGGTGGATTTATAGATTTACGTGTGTGGGTGTGTGTGTGCATGCCTACGTGAGTGTGTGTGGATAAGAGCGTCTGCTAAATGACTAAAATGTATATGTAAATGTGTGTGTGATTCTTCTGCAGAGCAGGCATTTGCTGATTACGCAGGCTGGTTTGATGACTCTCCAACAGATGTGTGCATCTAATGCATCTGTTTTCTCCTGCTTTTCCGCTGTTATTTCCGCTCCTATTACTTTTGGCCACGTGGAATTAAATGGCGGGAGTAATTGGTGTGTCAGTGTCTCAGCCGCTCCTGTTTGAAATTGTCTTCATATTAATATGGTCCACGTGACATACAGTATTTCCATCAGACTGAAAGGTTTTCATTATAGCATGCTTGGCATGAGGACATTCTAAACAATTATTTCTCGAAGCAATCAACCTTTAAAGGTCCCGCACAGTCATCCTATTTCCCAAATAAAAATAGCCTTTGAATGACCAAAAGATCACCCATAATAATTTTACGTTATTAAAATGCTCAGAAATTACGAAATGTTACCTTTTCCCTCATCTCTAACTATCAGGAAGCTTGAAAAAACAGGCTGAGTGAGCAGGGAGCTTAGGGATGGAAGAACAAAAACCATATAGTGACTATTAGGTGTGTTACAGAAAATATATCGTTCACAAGTTGCATTGTCTAACGTTAACCCCCTGATCCTCCAAAAATGTTGGCTACTATATATGGCAATGGCTATTTGCATATAGGCCTACTGCAACTCGGAGTACGGACCTGTGTAGAGTAGGGACCTGAGTCGTGCCTGTTAATGCAATAGAATCCTACTCCAATGCAGTCTGCCTAAAAGAAAATCTCTTGCACAGTTAGTTTTGCATACTGTCTTGCATAGTTAGTTTTGTTTCGGTATGTTACATTGAAAGTGGCTAATATTGCGTTGATTCGAGCACAATTCCCACAGTAGAGCGAAAAGTTGATAGTCTTAACTGAAGGGGAAAACTAGAAAGCAGAGTGAAGTTCAATCTCGTGTTTCTCTGCATGGGCTGATATTTATTCTGTGCGGCAGTCCAAGGGGAGATGCGCATGCACACAGCTTAGAGGGAACATAGATGCAGAGAGGCAGCTACAACAAAAACATCAGTTCAGTCTTTAGTAAAGCAGGCACATCACAGCAGTCTAGGTTGGGTCTGGACAAGACAAGACTAGATTTGAGAAGGTCATTGCACCTTTAAGGGATGCTCTGTACTTTTGTGTTAACGCTACTTGTTTCCCCCTCAATCTTCCTCCTGTTGTTTCTTGTACTCTGCCTGATTTTAACGGTTTGTGTCCTGTCCTTTCAGAATGCCGAGGCCAGCTATGACTTCAGCAGCAATGACCCATACCCGTATCCCCGCTACACGGATGACTGGTTTAACAGGTAAAGACTAACTGGCCAGCCAGTGTCCCTCTAAAGTCATCTGCCCCAAAGCATTCATCAATCAGCTATAGTTTTATTACTGTTTTTCAATTTGTGGGTGTGTGTGTGTGTTACCTGTTAGTGTATTCAATTATGTGTGTGTAAGTGTGTGTATACACTCATGAAAAAAGGTGCTATTTAGAACCTAAAAAGGTTATTTGGCTGTCCCCATAGGAGAACCCTTTGAAGAACCCTTTTGGTTCCAGGTAGAACCCTTTTGAGTTCCATGTAGAACCCATTCCACAGAGGGTTCTACATGGAACCCAAAATAGTTCTACATGGAACCAAAAAGGGTTCTATGGGGACAGCCCGAGAACCCTTTTGGAACCCTTTTTTCTAAGAGTGTACTTGTGTGTGCATGCATGAGTGTGTGCTTGTAGAGGAGTGAGTTAGGTGAGCCTAGGGTCGGATATACTCTGTTCTCCTTGGCTTGCCCATGGTATGGCAGGTCTCATAGTCTGTATTGATGTTCTCTCCACGTAGCTCTAGTCAGTGATATCTGTGGGCACTCATAGCTACTGCACTATTACTGAAGTGTTATTGTCCACAAAACATATGGCCCAAACTAGTTATTAAGGAGATAGATGGATATTATATTAGGGAAGGCAGGTACTGCGGGTCACAGTACATTGTGTGGGGCAATTGCAAACCCATGTATTCCTGCATATCTCTGAGTTGAAGTGAAGATCGTCTGAAAAGTGAAGGATCTACTTAATTAGATAGCTTGTCATCTGTAGAGTATTTACACAGAGTGTTGCATTTCCTGGCCCTTTCCTTCCGGTGATGTAAATCTGCCTACACAATGCACTCTGTGAGATCATCTATGAGAGATACAGTGCTATGAAAAAGTATTTGCCCCCTTTCTAATTTTATCTACTTTTGCATATTTGTGATACTGAATGTTATCAGATCTTCAACCAAAACCTAATATTAGATAAAGGGAACATAAGTGAACAAATAACACAACAATTATATATTTATTTCATAAACAAAGTTATGCAACACCCAATTCCCCTGTGTGAAAAAGTAATTGCCCCCTTACACTCAATAACTGGTTGTGCCACCTTTAGCTGCAATGACTCCAACCAAATGCTTCCTGTAGTTGTTGATCAGTCTCTCACGTCGCTGTGGAGGAATTTTGGCCCACTCTTCCATGCAGAACTGCTTTAACTCAGTGACGTGTGGGTTTTCAAGCATGAACTGCTCGTTTCAAGTCCTGCCACATCTCAATTAGGATTATGTCTGGACTTTGACTAGGCCATTCCAAAACTTCAAATTTGTTGCTTTTTAGCAATTTTCATGTAGACTTGATTGTGTGTTTTGGATCATTGTCTTGCTGCATGACCCAGCTGCGCTTCAGCTTCAGCTCACAGACGGATGGTCTGACATTCTCCTGTAGAATTCTCTGATACAGAGCAGAATTCATGGTTCCTTCTATTAAGGCAAGTCGTCCAGGTACTGAGGCAGCAAAGCATCCCCAAACCATCACACCACCACCACCATGCTTGACCTTTGGTATGATGTTCTTACTGTGGAATGTGGTGTTTGGTTTTCGCCAGGCATAATGGGACCCATCTCGTCCAAAAAGTTGACTCAAGTTTGTCAAAAAGCACCTGGATGATCATCAAGACTCTTGGAAGAACGTTCTATGGACAGATGATTCAAATGTATAACTTTTTGGACGACATGGTTCCAGTAATGCCTGGCGAAAACCAAACTCTACATTCCACAGTAAGAACATCATACCAAAGGTCAAGCATGGTGGTGGTGGTGTGATGGTTTGGGGATGCTTTGCTGCCTCAGGACCTGGATGACTTGCCTTAATAGAAGGAACCAGCACCCCCCCCCTCTTGGGGGTGCCTCTCGCCTGTCCTACGACGGCCCGGTTGGCGCCGCTTCTCCTCTCCTGCCTGGGTCTCCCCCTTCATCGCCCTCCGGTAACGGACGGCCTCCTCCTCCGTGATCTGCCCCCAACAGAGGAGGACATCCACTAACGTTACCTCCGGCGTTTGCTCCTGGACACGCTGCTTGGTCCTGTATTGGTGGGATCTTCTGTCACGTTCGTCATAATGATTGGACCAAGGCGCAGCGTGATATGCGTACATCTTTTTAATAATGTACTGGCAACACGATACAAATAACAAAACAACAAACGATACGTGAAGTCCTCGGTTAACAACACAAACCAACACGGAACAAGATCCCACAAAACACAAGTGCACAACAGGCTGCCTAAGTATGGTTCCCAATCAGAGACAACAAGCAACAGCTGATTCTCGTTGCCTCTGATTGAGAACCACCCCGGCCAACCTAGAAAACACATGAACTAGAAACTGAACATAGAACACAAAACATAGACCCCTACACACCCTGGCTCAACATACAAGAGTCCCCAGAGCCAGGGCGTGACAGATCAACAACTACAGGAAGCATTTGGTTGGAGTCATTGCAGTTAAAGGTGGCACAACCAGTTATTGAGTGTAAGGGGGCAATTTATTTTTCACACAGGGGAATTGGGTGTTGCATAACTTTGTTTATGAAATAAATATGTAATTGTTGTGTTATTTGTTCACTTATGTTCCCTTTATCTAATATTAGGTTTTGGTTGAAGATCTGATAACATTCAGTATCACAAATATGCAAAAGTAGAGAAAATTAGAAAGGGGGCAAATACTTTTTCATAACACTGTACATAGCGATACGGAGGCCAGATTGGCATCGGTCCAATCTCTCCTGGCTGCAGTGCTCACAGAGGCAACCTTATGTCCGATAGCGCCCTATCTCTCTCCCATCGCTACTTCACACTGCATGACCCACTGCTGCTGATGGCACCTCAAGGACTAGATGATTAAACAGAGAGAACACCATCCACACTCACTGCTCTCCTCTCTCCTCCACACATATCTGTGTGTTTGTGTCTGTGTGTGTGTGTTGTATTGTATTTATTGTGCCTGTTCGTCAATGCATGCCTAGCTGTCAGCCAGGATGTGACACTAGACACCTCAGTGTTGCCGCTGCTGAGTTAGTGCAGCACAGGACTAGTTGGGTAATTAGTTGGTTGTATATAAACAGCAGACTGTCTGTGGCAAGGCATGCTGGGAGAGCAGAGAGGGTTCACTGCAACTACCCTGTGGGAAGCCCACACAGGGATACTCACACACACACACACAAACATGCAGACACATACGCACGCACAACACAAGACTGCCCTCGTATGCCCTTCTAAAATGCTACCTCCTCAACCAACCATCTGATTTGAATGCAAATCGGAGATTCTATCAATTTCTTAATCTTCTTTCAAATGGATGAATGTGGTAGGAACTAGGGATGTGGCGGCATGACATTTTGTCAGCCAGTTATTGTCATGCAAAAGACTGCCGGTCTCATGGTAATTGCCATTCATTAATATAAACATGTTTAGCATCTTCAGGCCTCCACGCATACAAGCTGCATACAAGCCGCTGATGCAACCCTTTGGAACATCTACATTTAACAAAGTCTAATAAATCAATTTAATTTACACAATCACAGTTAATCCAGTATTTATTTTAGTCAGGTCTAAAGAAACATGATGTGAAGAAAATGTATTTCAGAAGAACAGAATATTAGTTGACCTACTGTATGTTATCTGCCATAGGCTGTAGACTTGTTCATTTAGCTGACAAGATAAGTCCCGTGCCATTATTTTATATTATATGATTTTATAGTAAGAAGAAAATAATTGAACAATATGTGGTAAAAGACCTGATACATTGACGAGTAACCAAGTCCCACTATGTTTTCCAACTTTATCCCCATTCCCCAATCTACCTGTGTGTTTCTGTGTGTAGTCATGGAACAAGGTGTGCTGGTGAGGTGTCTGCAGCAGCCAACAACAACATCTGCGGAGTGGGAGTGGCCTACAACTCTAAGGTGGCAGGTATGTAGACAACTGTAATACTGTGGTAAATAACAGCTGGCTTTGAAGTAAAAGTACTAGTGATCACAGTAATGTTAGATAACGTGTAAAAGTGGCGGTGATAATAACAATACTAATGGTAGCTATACTCAATAATAATAATATTATTGTCCATCTTACTTAACTCATAATTACCTAAAATTGTGAAATACATCTTGTAATTATAAAGTATGCCACACCGAATAATAATGGACACAGTATGTTCTCCACAGACACTCCCCAGTATTGACCAGCTTGACTGACCAGCTTGTGAACTCACAGACAAATTATACCAAATTACTGTAAATGTGAGAATGCAGCTGGAGCAAAATGACAACAAAATCAATGTAGACAATTCCATTCCTCCATTTCTTATTGAAGTATCCCTATGATATTGCTCTGGAATCAGCAATATAGAGGACAAGAAAATAACTATTGGCGATTTGATTTGTCCACTCATCCAGAAACCTGGCGTCAGTTCAGTTTGTCATCTAGTTTATCTTCAAACTGTCAACGCTTTGCTTTGGGTGAAATTCAAATTTCCAGTGGAAAGACTTCTTCATCAGTATGTTGTTAATATCCTCGAGGTCATCCATTTCCATAGAGGTTGAAAGGAGTTGTGGAAGCACCCTATTGAAGGCTTTGATGTTAAAATTAATTGGTTTTGAGATTTCATTATGTACCCAACTTTTCCTCCAAATAGATGCATCAAGGGTGGCTGAATATGTTTCATACATACAGTTTGTATAAAGACGGGCCAAACATAAGGAGATGTAGGTTAAACTGTAGCACCAACACAAATTACCTCATCTTAATCAGAGTTAGATAAATTAGCCACCAGCCCCCTCTTCTTGTGCTCATCATCAGCACCTTTTATTGTCATGGCAATGCTACACAAGCCCATAAGGGCTCTTAGCAAAAAATAACCATATAAAGATACTCATATCAACTGGTTGGTAACCGGTACATTTAGTTATAAAGTACTTACTCCAGTTTTTAAAGCAATAGTCAAGCCATACAAAATATATTAGGTCAAAAGTGGCTTAGTATTATAATAATGTGTAACCAATGGCTTGACTGATTCATTTGATAGACAATGTGTATCTTACAATACCTGTCTCTCCCCACCCATCCTCTCCTCCACCCCCAGGTATCCGTATGCTGGACCAACCCTTCATGACGGACATCATTGAGGCATCATCCATCAGCCACATGCCCCAGGTCATTGACATCTACAGTGCCAGTTGGGGGCCCACCGACGACGGCAAGACAGTAGACGGACCCCGAGAGCTCACTTTGCAGGCCATGGCTGATGGAGTCAACAAGGTACACACACACAAACACACACTGGGCTGACTGGGGATAGCAGGCTTATATTTTGATTTGATTTGATTTATAGAGTACCTGTACTTGTCTTACTGGGGTAACTGGGTTCTTTGAAAAGGCATACAGTACATGAGACTCAAGTCACAGAATAGGAAAAAGAACAGCCTTGCTGTTACACACGTTCACAGACACCCCCAGACACACACAGTTAGTTAGCCTACTGCCAGTGCCAGTAGCAATTAGCTGCTTGATGATTCATAATACCATGCAGGGGGGTGGTCTGATCTGCTCTGACCTTGTCTCAGCCAGTGTTGCTGAGTAGGTGCAAAATGTGCTCTAAGCCTGGCTAAGATAAACACAACTAATTCTCTCATACTAATGATCACAGATGTAAACCATTACGTAGGCTAAGCATGATGCACGTTGTACAACAACAAAAATAGCACTTTATTTTCAACCAACCTAAGATGAGAATAATTAAATAAAAATGTTCTTCCATTAAACAGCCATGCATGCTTTTTTAAATTCTCTCCAACAGCTGGGGAACACTTGTCACCCCTGCCCCGGTACAATCACTTCACTCTAAACGAGGCACTTAGTTTGCATCTTGAGCAAGGTGGCTTCGTTTGGCAAATTGACGTGGATAATAATAAAATAAATCACATGGAATATTCTGGAAGTGGTGCTAGATACATAAGAGTGCTTCATTGGGGGAGCGCTGGAGACAGTAGCCATGCACATATGTAATCTCACTGTATTTCAAACAGCACTTTGCAATTGAAATGGAGAGGCAGGAATATATGTGGAGAGAGGGACACGTAAATCAGGTTTACCTAGATCAGGGGTTACCAACCTAGGCGACCTTCCTTGATTTGAGGGGGGAAATATATACAGTTGCGGCCAAATATATTGGCACCCTTGCACTTTTCTTAAATAATTCAATAAACCCAGTCACTACAAAGATACAGCCGTCCTTTCTAACTCAGTTGACGGAGAGGAAGGAAACCGCTCAGGGATTTCACCATATCACTGTTATTTTACTTATCTATTGTTTACTTAACACTTATTTTTCTTAAAACTGCATTGTTGGTTAAGGGCTTGTAAGTAAGCATTTCACTGTAAGGTCTACACCTGTTGTATATACATGTAACAAATACAATTTGATGTGATTTGATTTGATTCACCTGTATCTTTGTAGTGACCGGCTGTATTGATACCATCCAAAGTGTGATTAATAATTCACCATTCTCAAAGGGATATTCAATGTCTGCTTTTTCTTTTTTTTTTACCCATCAGCCAATAGGTGCCCTTCTTTGCGAGGCACTGGAAAATCTCCCTGGTATTTGTGGTTAAATCTTTTGTTTGAAATTCACTGCTCGACTTCAATGCACATTTCATGTGTTTTTTTGAAAGGGAAGTCATATGGGGGTTTTAAGGTAAGTGGTACGCTGTTCAGCTAAAATAGTGGAAACATTTTTAATCAATATGATTACATTTAGCATGATCACTTAGTGCTGACTTTTCAATATGACCCCAACTGGGATTTAAACTCATAATCTCTGAATTTGGGGTAAACTGACCTTTCTGCTGCACCACAAAGTCTCTAGCATTCTCAGAACTTCCCTACAGATTCATTACCTATTCATTACTTATTACTTATATTATTGACACAGACATGGTGGTGTAGCAGGAGCTTCAGAATGCTGTGAACCAAGATGTTGTGAGTTCAAATCCCATGTTAGGACATGTTTAAAAAAAAAAAGATGTATGGATAAACATACACAATGTAATCATGTGTGTCAAATATGTACGTTGAGAAGGCTGATGACGTTCTGGGGACATCCCAATGACTCAATCGTGTTTGCAGGGCATCACCTGTGAAATCTCATTTGTGAGAAATATCATCACATAGGAAGGATTTCACATGTGAAGTCATGTGATTATTCTCAGTAAGGGAACAAACAAGAACCATTCCTGCGAGACTCTTATAAAGTTAAATCAAATCAAATCAAACTTTATTTGCCACATGCGCCGAATACAACAGGTGTAGACGTTACAGTGAAATGCTTACTTACAAGCCCTTAACCAACAATGCAGTTTTAAGAAAAATAAGTGTTAAGTAAAAAATAGATAAGTAAAAAATCAAATATAAAACAATTAAAGAGCAGCAGTAAATTAAAATAACAGTAGGGAGGCTATATACAGGGGGTACCGGTACAGAGTCAATGTGCGGGGGCACAGGTTAGTCGACGTAATTGAGGTAATATGCACATGTGGGTAGAGTTAAAGTGACTATGCATTGATAATAAACAGAGAGTAGCAGCAGCGTAAAAGAGGGGTAGTATGCAAATAGTCTGGGTAGAATAGTCAGGAGTCTTATGGCTTGGGGGTAGAAGCTGTTAAGAAGCCTTTTGGACCTAGACTTGGCGCTCCGGTACCGCTTGCCGTGCGGTAGCAGAGAGAACAGTCCATGTCTAGGTTGGCTGGAGTCTTTGACAATATTTAGGGCCTTCCTAAAAATGATGGTATTGGAGTTGTGCCTGGCCATGCAGTCATGGCTGAACAGGGAGTACAGGAGGGGAATGAACACGCAGCCCTGAGGGGCCCCCGTGTTGAGGATCAGCGTGGCAGATGTGTTGTAACCAACCCTTACCACCTGGGGGTGGCCCGTCAGGAAGTCCAGGATCAAGTTGCAGAGGGAGGTGTTTAGTCCCAGGGTCGTTAGCTTAGTGATGAGCTTTGAGGGCACTATGGTGTTGAACGCTGAGCTGTAGTCAATGAATAGCATTCTCAAGTAGGTGTTCCTCTTGAACAGGTGGGAAAGGGCAGTGTGGAGTGCAATAGAGAATGCATCATATGTGGATCTGTTGGGGCGGTATGCAAAATGGAGTGGGTCTAGGGTTTCTGGTATAATGGTGTTGATGTGAGCCATGACCAGCCTTTCAAAGCACTTAATGGCTACAGACGTGAGTGCTAAGGGTTGGTTGTCATTTAGGCAGGTTATCTTAGTATTCTTGGGCACAGGGACTATGGTGGTCTGCTTGAAACATGTTGGTATTACAGACTCAGTCAGGGACAGGTTGAAAATGTCAGTGAAGACACTTGCTAGTTGGTCAGCGCATGCTCGGAGTACGTGTCCTGGTAATCCGTCTGGCCCTGCGGCCTTGTGAATGTTGACCTGCTTGAAGTCTTACTCACATCGGCTACGGAGAGCGCGATCACATAGTCATCCGGAATATCTGATGCTCTCATGCATGCTTCAGTGTTTCTTGCCTCGAAGCGCGCATAGAAGTGATATAGCTCGTCTGGTAGGCTAGTGTCACTGGCGGTGTAGTACGATTCAATCATAGTCCTGTATTGACTCTTTGCCTGTTTGATGGTTCATCGGCGGGCATAGCGGGATTTCTTATAAGCGCCCGGGTTAGAGTCCCGCTCCTTGAAAGCGGCAGCTCTACCCTTTACCTCAGTGCGGATGTTGCCTGTAATCCATGGCTTCTGGTTGGGGTATGTACGTACGGTCACTGTGGGGACGACATCATCGATGCACTTATTGATGAAGCCAGTGACTGATGTCGTGTACTCCTCAATGCCATCGGAAGATTCCTGGAACATATTCCAGTCTGTGCTAGCAAAACAATCCTGTTGCTTAGCATCTGCGTCATCTGACCACTTCCTTATTAACCGAGTCACTGGTGCTTCCTGCTTTAGTTTTTACTTATAAGCAGGAATCAGAAGGATAGAATTATGGTCAGATTTGCCAAATGGAGGGTGAGGGAGAGCTTTGTACCTGTCTCTGTGTGTGGAGTAAAGGTGGTCTAGAGTTTTTTTTCCCTCTGGTTGCACATTTAAAATGCTGGTAGAAATTAGGTAGAACGTATTTAAGTTTCCCTGCATTAAAGTCCCCGGCCACTAGGAGCGCTGCCTCTGGATGAGCGTTTTCCTGTTTGCTTATGGCCTTATACAGCTCATTGAGTGCAATCTTAGTGCGAGCATCGGTTTGTGGTGGTAAATAAACAGTTACGAAAAATATAGATGAAAACTCTCTTGGTATATAATGGGGTCTACAGCTTATCATGAGATACTCTACCTCAGACGAGCAAAACCTTGAGACTTCCTTAATATTAGATTTCATGCACCAGCTGTTGTTTACAAATATACACAGACCACCACCCCTTGTCTTACCAGAGTCAGCCATTCTATCCTGCCGGTGTAGCGTATATATCCCGCCAGCTGTATGTTATCCATGTCGTCGTTCAGCCACGACTCGGTGAAACATAAGATATTAGTTTTTAATGTCCCGTTGGTAGGATATCTGTGATCGTGGGTTGTCCATTTTGTTTTCCAATGATTGTACGTTGGCTAATAGGACTGATGGTAGAGGCAGATTACGTGCTCACCTCGGATCCTTACAAGGCACCCCGACCTACGTCCACGATATCTCTGTCTCTTTCTCATGCGAATGACGGGGATTTGGGCCTTGTCTGGTGACTGTAGAATATCCTTTGCGTCCGACTCATTGCTTTGGCATGCAGCAGGGAGAAGGGAATTATAATTATAATATTCAGCCCAACGGAACAACGGCCACAAAAGGCACGGATTTCTTACGGGGATTATGGCCACACAAAGGGAATGCAGCCGGGAAATTCGAGGCATTATCAAGCGCTTGTCAAATTGTGAATGAGAGACTGATGAACTGTGTACAGCCTGCGCAAAAAAACAAAGCAGAGCTCATGCCTTTAATGCGACTTCATTTTATCGCTGGTGCAAGGTCTATCTCCATTCAGAGACATCAGTATCAATCCTGTCTGTCAGTCTTGCAAGTCTCCCAAGTGCTGGCTCATGTATCTGTATCTGTGAACACATACAGACATTGTCACTGTTCTATTACCAATGGCAGTTCTGACACACAAACATATACTATGTTGAAGTTTGAACAGGTCAGACATATCCTACCTAATTCTGGTCTCACCATCGACGACCATTGGTGAGCATGCAAGAGGTGAGGATGGGGATGAGGTCTTTACCAGCGCCCCATTGTTGGTCATGGCAGCCTAGATCAAACACACACATACACACACACAGAGCAACTATGATGTTGATACGATATGGATTACAATAATCATCCTGAATATTAAGGCTACACTCACTTCATGTTACACACATAGACACTCAACCATGCAAATTGGCTGGGTTATCATACACACTTTCACTAAATCACATCCAATATCACACACATCAACCTACTCAGATCTACTACACACATACTAAACAAAATGTTATAACATCTGTGGCATTGGCTCACAGGCAAGAAAAAAAAAAAAAAAAAAAAGCGAACAAAAATAACATGAAAACACCAGTTGCTTTGTGCATATTGGTAGAACCTGTTTCTTGAATTCTAAACATCAGACATTTGAAATCTCTATTTTTGACCATCATGATACCTCCTATGGCAGTAATTTTAAAAGCAAAAATTATGGTAAGTTAGACTGAGAATAGTATCTAGTTATGGTAAGGGATGAAATAAGTATAGCCAGTTATAATTGTAACGGCTTATCAGATTATAAGAAAAGACGATCAGTCTTTACATGGCTAAAAGAAAAGGAATATAACATATACTGTTAACAGGAAACTTACTCTACATCTTTAGATGAAGTTGTGTGGAAAAAGGAATGGGGCTTTGAAATAATTTTCTGTCATGAAAAAAGGAACTCAAAAATGTACCTTCAGAGGTAATTCAATTCAATATTCATCAGTAAAGAAAAAAGCAGTTTCTGTCTAAAGAGACAAGACCAACAAGGGAAATATAGGAACTAACAGTACAGGTAGATAGCAATAAAAACGGTACTACAGAGATACAAAACAAGTTAGAGGAAAAACAAAAAGAACTGGAGGAACTTATTCAAGAACGATCTAATGTAATCTATTACAAAAATAAAGCAAACTGGATGGAATATGGAGAAAAATGCACCGAACTGTTCCTGAATCTTCAACACGGGAACGCTACCAAAAATAATTTGCAGAAGCTCTAACTAAAGACGGAGTCATCCATGATTCTCCTAATTATATTTTAAAAGAGGAAGCTAAATAATAGATTTTAAGCAGATGTTTTCTTTTCCGTCTCCTCCTCACACTCTGAATGACGATTACTGTAAGGAATTCTCCCCCCCCAGAAAATATGAAAAATTAACAAAATGCACAAAAAGATCAGTGAGAAGGCCAAATTACAGAGGAATAACGTTTTGAGGCTATTAAATCATTTCAATCTGGAAAAACCCCAGGGCTCGATGGTATACCGGTAGAGGTATATCAAGCCTTTTTTGATATACTCACAGCTCCATTATTAGCTTGTGTTACCTACTCCTATAAAAATGGTAGTCTGCCAGGCACTCAGCATGAAGGTCTGATTTCACTATTATTAAAACAAGATCTGGATGGCAAATATAAAGATCCAGTCCAACTAAAAAACTGCGAGGCCTCTTACACTTCAATGTTGTGATGAAAAGATACTAGCAAAATGCATAGTACTCAGAATTAAAACGTTTTACCAGGTATTGTTCATCAGACAGGTATAATACATTACCGATAAATTTGAGATAATATATGACAACTACTGGAAATAATAGAACAACATGAAACATCTAAGAAGCCAGGCCCAGTGTTCATACTGGATTTTGAAAAGGCCTTTGATAAAGCAAGACTGGATTTTATATGTAAATGCCTGGATGTTTTCAATTTCAGTAAGTCTCTTACTCAATTCAGTAAGTCTCTTACTCACCTGGACTCCTTTACTTTGTTGATAGCCCCTTCTATATCTGTCTGTTCCCCAGTTTGATCCCGGTGTCTGCATTGATGTTGTTTCGTTTCCCCTGTCCAGACGCTGTCTGTGTTTTACTCCATGTCTTTTATTTATTAAATCATCACCCTGTACTTGCTTCCCGTCTCCCAGCGTCTGTCGAACCGAGATCGTTACAGTGGGGGTATACAGAAGATATCCCTATTTGGTAAAAGACCAAGTCCATATTATGGAAAGAACAGCTCAAATAAGCAAAGAGAAACGGTAGTCCATCATTACTTTAAGACATGAAGGTCAGTCAAAACAGAACATTTCAAGAACTTTGAAAATTTCTTCAAGTGCAGTTGCAAAAACCACCAAACGTTATGATGAAACTGGCTCTCATGAGGACCGCCACAGGAAAGGAAGACCCAGAGTTAGCTCTGCTGCAGAGGATAAGTTCATTAGAGTTACCAGCCTCAGAAATTGCAGCCCAAAGATATGCTTCACAGAGTTCAAGTAACAGACACATCTCAACATCAACTGTTCAGAGGGGACTGTTTGAAACCACTGCTAAAGGACATCAATAAGAAGAATAGACCTGCTTGGGCCAAGAAACATGAGCAATGGACATTAGACCGGTGGAAATGTGTCCTTTGGTCTGGAGTCCAAATTTGAGATTTTTGGTTCCAACCACCGTGTCTTTGTGAGACGCGGAGTGGGTGAACGGATGGTCTCCGCATGTGTAGTTCCCACCGTAAAGCATGGAGGAGGTGTGGGGGTGCTTTGCTGGTGACACTCTGTGTGATTTATTTAGAATTCAAGGCACACTTAACCAGCATGGCTACCAAATCATTCTGCAGCGATACGCCATCCCATCTGGTTTGGGCTTAGTGGGACTATCATTTGTTTTTCAACAGGACAATGACCCAACACACCTCCAGGCTGTGTACGGGCTATTTTACCAAGAAGGAGAGTGATGGAGTGCTGCATCAGATGACCTGGCCTCCACAATCCCCCGACCTCAACCCAAATGAGATGGTTTGGGATGAGTCGGACGGCAGAGTGAAGGAAAAGCAGCCAACAAGTGCTCAGCATATGTGGGAACCCTTCAAGACTGATGGAAAACAATTCCAGGTGAAGCTGGTTGAGAGAATGCCAAGAGTGTGCAAAGCTGTCATCAAGGCAAAGGGTAGCGATTTGAAGAATCTCTAATATAAAATATATTTTGATTTGATTAACACTTTTTTGGTTACTACATGATTCCATATGTGTTATATCATAGTTTTGATGTCTTCACTATTATTCTACAATGTAGGAAAAAAAAAACTTGAATGAGTAGGTGTGTCCAAACTTTGGACTGGTACTGTACATGATGGGGTGTTCCTCCCCATCATGTACCTGGGACAGGACGGCCCCTAGTCCCGTGTTGCAGGCATCCATCTGCACCAGCATCGGTACCTGGAAATCGGGCGTCATGAGAATCGGATGGGAGCACAGGGCCTCCTTCAGACGCCTGAACGCCGCTTCGGCCTCATCCAACCACTTCACTGTTTTCGGGAGACGGGCCCTGGTCAGATCGGTAAGGGGGGAGGCTATAGCTGCAAAGTTAGGGATAAACCGCCTATAGTATCCCGCCAGCCCCAGGAAGGACTTGACCTGTGTCTTGGTGAGGGGAATGGGCCAGTCACGAACAGCCTGGACCTTCCTCTCCTGGGGCTTGACGTTCCCACTTCTGATCAAATACCCCAGGTACTCCACCTCCTCGAACTCCAGCTTGCATTTCTTGGGATTCGCTGTCTACCTGGCTTGCCTGAGCGCATCCAGTACCACCTGGAGGCGCATCAGGTGCTCTTCCCAACCTTGGCTGTGGATGATGATGTCATCCAAATAGGCACACCTGTTAATTGAAATGAATTCCAGGTGACTACCACATGAAGCTGGTTAAGAGAATGCCAAGAGTGTGCAAAGCTGTCAGGGTGGCTATTTGAAGAATCTCAAATATAAAATATATTTTGATTTGATTAACACTTTTTTGGTTACTATATGATTCCATATGTGTTATTTCATAGTTTTGATGTCTTCACTATTGTTCTACAGTGTAGAAAATAGTAAAAATAAAGAAAACCCTTGAATGAGTAGCTGTTCTAAAACTTTTGACCGTTAGTATAAAATAAAAAAACGGAAATATTACATTTACATAAGTATACGGACCCTTTACTCAGTACTTTGTTGAAGCACCTTTGGCAGCGATTACAGCCTCGAGGCGTCTTGGGTATGATGCTACAAGCTTGGCACACCTGTATATGGGGAGTTTCTCCCATTCTTCTCTGCAGATCCTCTTAAGCTCTTTCAGGTTGGATGGGGAGTGTCGCTGCACTGCTATTTTCAGGTCTCTCCAGAGATGTTTGATCGGGTTCTGGCTGGGCCACTCAAGGACATTCAGAGACTTGTCCCAAAGCCACTCCTGCGTTGTTTTGGCTGTGTGCTTAGGGTTTTTGTCCTGTTGGAAGGGGAACCTTGGCCCCAGTCTGAGGTCCTGGGCGCTCTGGAGCAGGTTTTGATCAAAGATCTCTCTGTACTTTGCTCCATTCATCTTTCTCTCAATCCTGACTAGTCTCCCAGTCCCTGCCGCTGAAAAACATACCCATAGCATGATGCTGCCATCACCATGCTTCACCATAGGGATGGTGCCAGGATTCATCCAGACGGGGACCTTCAATGCAGCAGACATTTTTTGCTACTCAATTTCGAGTCTCATAGCAAAGGGTCTGAATACTTATGTAAATAAGGTATTTCTTTTTTTAGTTTTTTTATAAATTAGCAAACATTTCTAAAACCTGTTTTTGCTTTGTCATTATAGGGTATTGTGTATAGAGTGATGAGGGGAAAAAAACAATTTAATCAATTTTAGAAAAGGCTGTACCGTAACAAAATGTGGAAAAAGTCAAGGGGTCTGAATACTTTCCCATTGCACTGTATGTAACTGATTGTCAGTAACAGAAGATAAGAGCTATCATACCACAAAGATGTGTCAAATACCAGAGCTGGAGGAAAATAAGAAACCTTGAGTTACAAACTAAAAGCTTGACACTGGTGTTTCTCTACATTATACCATTATGTTTCTCAGTACATCTGAAGAAAACTCTATTGTCATTATCTATTATTCTCAACAGTGTGAGGCACTCAACAGCACATTTTCGGTTGTATTATTTGAAGGTAGTAGCAGTGGTAGTAGTCACAGTAGCAGTTATAGTGATAGTGAAACTTGATTACCAGATTGCATGCCAGCTTTGCAGTCTGTATAAACATTGTAAATAATGTAACTAGTCTACACTACAGCACACTGCCAGTATAGTTATATGAGTATCATTTGAGCATTTGCTGCAGCAGAAATAACCTGCAGCACAGCAGTAAGTTATGTGCATTATAATATACATTTTTGTAGGTGTGATACATTTCCAAGTCTGAATTAAGTGGAATTACAACATCAGAAGCCTTTTAAACCTCAAACCTAAAGTTACATTTCCTGCATTGCAGTCCTGAACAGGGGATCTTGTAGGGCAGAGGAGGGAAAGGCAGTATCTACGTATGGGCCTCTGGAGACGGCGGTAGCTATGACGACTGTAACTGCGACGGTTACGCCTCCAGCATGTGGACCATCTCCATCAACTCAGCCATCAACGACGGCCGCACGGCCCTGTATGACGAGAGCTGCTCTTCCACCCTCGCATCCACCTTCAGCAACGGACGCAAGAGGAACCCTGAGGCTGGTGTGGTGAGTGAGAGAGTGAGTGAGAGAGTGAGTGAGTGAGTGAATGAGTGAGTGAGTGAGTGAGTGAGTGAGTGAGTGAGTGAGTGAGATCTCCATCTGACCTTAGTCATACTACAGTAATTCTGGTCATACTAATCCCTTTCACTCACTGGAGTTTTCCCTTGCCACTTTACCCTATAGTAGCTTGTTATTGTTTTTTTTTGTGTATGTCATTCGTAGGCAATGTTTTAAAAAAGCATTGTACAAATACAGTTAGATTTGATCGTGTTCAGTGAAGGCTACTCCATTTTTTACAGGGAATATTCGGACAAATAAATCTCTCTCTCAGTGTATTGATTATCAAGAGATGTCACTCTCATACACTACATGACCAAAAGGATGTGGACACCTGCTTGTCGAACATCTCATACCAAAATCATGGGCATTAATACGAAGTTGGTCCCCCCTTTGCTGCTATAATAGTCTCATTCTTTTGGGAAGGCTTTCCACTAGATGTTGGAACATTGCTGCGGGGACGTGCTTCCATTCAGCCACAAGAGCATTAGTGAGGTCGGGCACTGATGTTGGGTGATTAGGCCTGGCTCGCAGTCGGCGTTCCAATTCTTCCCAAAGATGTTTGATGGACTGCCAGATGGTGAAGCGTGAATCATTACTCCAGAGAACGCGTTTCCACTGCTCCAGAGTCCAATGGCGGCGAGATTTACACCACTCCAGCCGACGCTTGGCATTGTGCATGGTGATCTTAGGCTTGTTTGTGGCTGCTCGGCCATGCAAACCAATTTCATGAAGCTCCCGACGACCAGTTCTTGTGCTGACGTTGCCTCCAGAGGCCGTTTGGAACTCGGTAGTGAGTGTTGCAACCGAGGAGAGATTATTTTTACGCGCTACACTCTTCAGCACTCGGCGGTCCCGTTCTGTGAGCTTGTGTGGCCTACCACTTCGCAGCTTAGCCGTTGTTGCTCCTAGACGTTTCCACTTAAAAATAACAGCACTTACAGTTGACCGGGGTAGCTCTAGCAGGGCAAAAATGTGACTTGTTGGAAAGTTGGCATCCAATGACGGTGCCACGTTGAAAGTCACTGAGCTCTTCAGTAAGGCAATTCTAATGTTAATGTTTGTTTATGGAGATTGCATGGCTGTGTGCTCGAATTGATACACCTGTCAGCAATGGGTGTGGCTGAAATAGCTGAATCCACACATTTGAAGGAGTGTCCACATACTTTTGGACATATAGTGTACATGAGAACCGTATTTGACAGCACTGACTAATTAGATAATTGGATATTATCTCTGGTTATCTGTAATTAAACTCAACATCTGAATCAAATGTTTACTGAATCATTTGCATTCTTGAAGTATTTTCTTCTCCACTTTCCTCTCCTCTCCCCTCCTCTCCTCTCTTCTTGTTGAATGTTGTGAGCTCACTGATAAGACTACATTCTTCATCTTCCATGGTTGTGTTATGGTAGGCCACCACGGACCTGTATGGAAACTGCACCCTGCGCCACTCTGGAACATCAGCAGCAGCTCCAGAAGCAGCCGGAGTGTTTGCCTTGGCGTTGGAGGCCAAGTATGTACACACACACCTCATCTGCCCTCCTCATCATTTGTCCCACACACCCCATGGACTAATGCTGCCGCTTAAAATATTTATTCAGCCATTACCAGTCAGTGTCTGAAGGTCTTACTCCTACACTGAATATGGCTACTGCTGTTCTCACTCTATTAACATGGATGAGATGTTTTTCCTAACTGCAGCTCCACAGTGACTGAAACCATGACTGTCTCATTACAAACAACCTATTTATTTCTTTGTCTTTCTCTCCCAGAGTCAAATTCAAGTTCAAATGTCTTTATTCTCTCTCTCTCTTGATATCCCTCTAGTGGTGAGGGGCTGTGCTTTGGCAAAGTGGGTGGGGTTATATCCTGCCTTGTTGGCCCTGTCTGCGGATATTGTCAGACGGGGCCACAGTGTCCCCTGACCCCCCCTGTCTCAGCCTCCAGTATCTATGCTGCAATAGTCTATGGCTAGGGTCAGTCTGTTATATGTGGTGTTAATTCTCCTGTCTTATCTGGTGTCCTGTGTGAATTTAAGTATGCTCCCCCTCCAGTTTCAACTGTTCTGCCTGCGGCTATGGAACCCTGAGCTGTTCACCGGACGTGCTACCTTGTTGTCTCTCTCTCTCTCTCTCTCTCTCTCTCTCTCTCTCTCTCTCTCTCTCTCTCTCTCTCTCTCTCTCTCTCTCTCTCTCTCTCTCTCTCTCTCTCTCTCTCTCTCTCTCTCTCTCTCTATCAGAGCCTTTCTTCTTCTTATCAATTCAATTTCAATTTAAGGGCTTTATTGGCATGGGAAACGTGTGTTAACATTGCCAAAGCAAGGGAAGTAGATAGTAAACAAAAGTGAAATAAACAATAAATATTAACAGTAAACATTACACTCAGAAGTTTCAAAAGAATAAAGACATTTCAAATGTCATATTATGTATATATACAGTGTTGTAACAATGTGCAAATAGTTAAAGTACAAATGGGAAAATAAATAAACATAAATATGGGTTGTATTTACAATGGTGTTTGTTCTTCACTGGTTGCCCTTTTCTTGTGGCAACAGGTCACAAATCTTGCAGCTGTGATGGCACACTGTGGTTTTTCACCCAGTAGATAAGGGAGTTTATCAAAATTGGGTTTGTTTTCGAATTCTTTGTGGATCGCTGTAATCTGAGGGAAATATGTGTCTCTAATATGGTCATACATTTGGCAGGAGGTTAGGAAGTGCAGCTCAGTTTCCACCTCATTTTGTGGGCAGTGTGCACATAGCCTGTCTTCTCTTGAGAGCCAGGTCTGCCTACGGCGGCCTTTCTCAATAGCAAGGCTATGCTCACTGAGTCTGTACATAGTCAAAGCTTTCCTTAAGTTTGGGTCAGTCACAGTGGTCAGGTATTCTGCCACTGTGTACTCTCTGTTTAGGGCCAAATAGCATTCTAGTTTGCTCAGTTTTTTTGTTTGTTCTTTCCAATGTGTCAAGTAATTCTCTTTTTGTTTTCTCATGATTTGGTTGGGTCTAATTGTGTTGTTGTTGTTGTTGTTGTTGTTGTCCTGGGCTGTGTGGGGTATGTTTGTGTTTGTGAACATAGGCCCAGGACAAGCTTACTTAGGGGACTCTTCTCCAAGTTCATCTCTCTGTAGGTGATGGCTTTGTTATGGAAGGTTTGGGAATCGCTTCCTTTTAAGTGGTTATAGAATTTAACGGCTCTTTTCTGGATTTTGATAATTAGCGGGTATTGGCCTAATTCTGCTCTGCATGCATTATTTGGTGTTTTACGTTGTACACGGAGGATGTTTTTGCAGAATTCTGCATGCAGAGTCTCAATTTGGTGTTTGTCCCATTTTGTGAATTATTATCTCCCCCCATTGCTCTCCTCCTCTAAAGACCACTTAATATCTTCTCTTTGCATAGAATCACTTATTTACCAAACCTGCCATTAGGCCCACAGACCTACTCCATGAAAATAGGGAAAGTTGTTTGTTGTCTAATTTTTTACTGTTGCCCAGTTATCCCTAAGTCTATGTGTTCGTGCCAGGGATACAAATAATAGTGTGTTCTTTATACCTTGTTACATGGCAGAAAAAATTAAAAGGTTTATACTGAAGACTGCTTTCAAAGTGCACGTTCATGTTTTATTAATTACCGAAAGGCCCATATACATGAACCAGAGCGACTCAGCACTAGCTGGTGATGTAAGATGCTGGAGTGTTCCCAGCATTGCCAGCTGGGACGCGTATGTCACGATGTTGACAAGTAAACCAGAGGAATACCTCAGCCCATTTCCACAATGATAGAATCCATAATAATAATGCTTGGTTTTGTTTTGGGATTTTATTATGTTCAACATTAGCACTGTGGCAACAACGACATTTAAAAATCTTTCATTTCAAACATCATGAATTCACAGCCGATGTGAAAACGTAGCTTAATTTCGACCTTATGGTCGTGAAAATGTAAAACATATGCTAGTGGCACATTTAATCTGAATAATTTAACATACTTGACTTGATAGTTACTGTAGATACTGTGGGAGCATGTAGGGTGGAGTCCTGCCACTGACCAGAGCTAGACCAGGCTCCGGGATACAGGGATAAGGTCCAAAAACTATATCAAAGTAGAATGTTCAGAATATACCATCTTAAGTACAAGAAGAACTAGGGTTTCTATAAAGGTTTCACCTACTCTCCCCAATCATTTTCAATCATTTTAACTCAGTCTTTTTTAGATACTCTTAAAAATAAAGGTTTAAGTTAGAACCATATGAGGTTTTTGGCTCCACAAAGAACCTTATGCAAGCCAATTCTTCCAAGAACCTTTCTTTAAAAAAGCAAACCTTAATAAAGAAAACGCTACCAAAGTTTAATCAACACATCGCCTGCACTACTCACTCATCAATAATTCTTGACCATTGCTACTCCCCCTTCTGGGACAGCTACAAGGCCCTCCCCCACCCTCCCTTCGGCAAATCAGATCACGCCTCCATTCTGCTCCTCCCTTTCTATAGGCAGAAACAGGTAGTTCCCATGGTAAGGACTGTTCAACGTTGGTCTGACCAATCGAAATCTATGCTTCGTATTGTTCATGTGGACTGGGATATATTCCGTGTTGCCTCTGAGAATAACATTGACTTATACACTGACTCTGTGATTGAGTTAATCAGGAAGTGCATAGAGGATGTTGTTCCCACTGTGACAATTAGAACTCATCCAAACCAAAACACGTGGCTAGATAGCAGCATTCGCGCAAAACTGAAAGCGCAAACCATCGCATTTAACCACGGCAAGGTGACTGGGAATATGGACAAGCACAAACAACCTAGCTATGCCCTCCATAAGGCAATCAAACAGGCAATAGAGCCGCAATTCAACGGTTCAGGCACAAGAAATATGTGGCAGGGAATCCAGACAATCACGGATCATAAAGGGAAAACCAGCTACATAGCGGACACCGACACCTTGCTTCCGGACAAGCTAAACACCTTCTTCATCCGCTTCAAGGAAAACACAGTGCTGCCAATGCGGGCCACCGATGCTCACAAGGACTGTGAGCTCTCGTTCTCCATGGCCGACATGAGTACGAAATTTAAGCGTGTTAACCCTCACAAAGCTAGATGCATCCTCAGAGCATGTGCAGACCAGCTGGCTGGAGTGTTTACGAACATATTCAATCTCTCCCTATCCCAATCCCCACTTGCTTCAAGATGTCCACAACTATTCCTGTACACAAGAAAGTGAAGGTAACTAAACTAAATGTGCTCAGCCCCCTCCTGTACTCCCTGTTCACCCATAACTGCGTGGCCACGCACGTCTCCATCGCAATCATCAAGTTTGCAGATTATACAACAGTGATAGGCCTGATTACCAACAACGACGAGACAGCCTACAGGGAGGAGGTGAGGGCCCTAGCGGAGTGGTGCCAGAAAATGACCTCTCCCTCAACGTCAACAAAATGAAGGAGCTGATCGTGGACTTCAGGAGACATCAGATGGAGCTCGCCCCCAACCACATCGATGGGACCACAGTGGAAAGATTGAAAAGTTTCAAGTTCCTCGGCATGAACATCACTGACAAACTTAAATGGTTCATCCACACAGACAGTGTGGTGAAGAAGACACAACAGCGCCTCTTCATCCTCAGGAGGCTGAAGAAATTCAGCTTGGCCTCTAAGACCCTCATGAACTTCTACAGATGCACAATTGAGAACATCCTGCCGGGCTGTATCACCGCCTGGTACGGCAACTGCACCGTCCGCAACCGCAGGGCTCTCCAGAGGGTGGTGCATTCAGCCCAACAAATCACTGGGGGCACACTGCCTGCCCTCCACGACATCAACCGCTGTCACAGGAAGGCCACGAAGATCATCAAGGACCTCAGCCGCTTGAGCCACGTTCTGTTCACCCCACTGCAATCTAGAAGGCAGAGACAGTATAGGTGCATCAAAGCTGTGACAGAGAGACTGAAAAACAGATTCCATCTACAGGTCATCAGACTCTTAAATAATCACCACTAGCCTCCACCCAGCACACTTCCCTGAACATTAGTCACTGTTACTAGCCGGCTACCACCCAGTACTCAAACTTGCACCTTAGAGACTGCTGCCCTATGCATATAGTCATTGAACACTTGTCAATTTAATAATGTTTACTTATTGTTGTACACCGAACACAAATATAAACACAACATGTAAAGTGTTGGTCCCATGTTTCATGAGCTGAACTAAAAATCCCAGAAATGTTCCATACTCACAGAAATATTATTTATCTCCAATTATGTACACAAATGTGTTTACATCCCTGTTAGTGAGCATTTCTCCTTTGCCAAGATATTCCATCCACCTGACAAGTGTGGCATATCAAGAAGCTGATTAAACAGCATGATCATTACACAGGTGCACCTTGTGCTGGGGACAATAAAAGGCCACTCTAAAATGTGCAGTTTTGTCACACAACACAATGCCACAGATGTCTGAAGTTTTGAGGGAGCGTGTAATTGCCATGCTGACTGCAGGAATGCCCACTAGAGCTGTTGCCAGAGAATTGAGTGTTCATTTCTTTACCATAAGCTGCCTCCAACGTCGTTTTAAAGAATTTGTCAGTACATCCAACCGGACTCACAATCGCAAACCACGTGTAACCACACCAGCCCAGGACCTCCACATCCGGCTTCTTCACCTGTGGGAACGTTTGACACAAGCCACTTGGACAGTTGATGAAACTTTGGGTTTGCACAACCGAATAATTTCTGCACTAACTGTCAGAAACCATCTCAGGGAAGCTCATCTGCATGCTCGTCGTCTTCACCAGGGTCTTGACCTGACTGCAGTTTGGCGTCGAAACCAACTTCAGTGGGAAAATGCTCACCTTCGATGGCCACTGGCACACTGGAGAAGTGTGCTCTTCACAGATGAATCCTGGTTTCAAGATCTGTTTCTCAAAAGTTCAGTTTTAGGCAAAAAAAAAGAAAAAAAAAAGGAAACATTTGTGGACACCCCTTCAAATTAGTGGATTCGGCTATTTCAGCCACAATGTTGCTGACCGGTGTATAAAATCGAGCACAAAGTCATGCAATCTCCATAGACAAACATTGGCAGTAGAATGGCCTTACTGAAGAACTCAGTGACTTTCAACGTGGCGCCGTCATAGGATGCAACCTTTCCAACAAGTCAGTTCATAAAATTTCTGCCCTGCTAGAGCTGCCCCGGTTAACTGTAAGTGCTGTTAATGGGAGCAACAACGGCTCAGCCGCGAAGTGGTAGGCCACACAAGCTCACAGAACGGGACCGCCGAGTGCTGATAGTCTGTCCTCGGTTGCAACACTCACTACCGAGTTCCAAACTGCCTCTTGAAGCAACGTCAGCACAATAACTGTTCGTCGGGGGGCTTCATGAATTTGGTTTCCATTGCCGAGCAGCCGCACACCAGCCTAAGATCACCATGCGCAATGACAAGCGTCGGCAGGAGTGGTGTAATGCTTGCCGCTATTAGACTCTGGAGCAGTGGAAACGTGTTCTCTGGAGTGATGAATCACGCTTCACCATCTGGCAGTCTGACAGACGAATCTGCGTTTTGGAATGAGAAGTTTGACGAGCAGGTGTCCACATATTTTTGGTAATGTATTGTAAGTATGTATGTACCTTCGCCACCTATGCCCTTGACTTTTTCCACATTTTGTTACATTACATCATTATTCTTAAATGTATTACATTATTTTTTTCCCTCATCAATCTACACACAATACCCCATTAAAAAACATAAAAAACACAAGGAACTATCACATTTACATAAGTATTCAGACCCTGTACTTAGTACTTTGTTGAAGCACCTTTGGCAGCGATTACAGCCTTGAGTCTTCTTGGGTATGACGCTACAAGCTTGGCACACCTGTATTTGGGGAGTTTCTCCCATTCTTATCTGCAGATCCTCTCAAGCTCTATCAGGTTGGATGGGGAGCGATGCTGCACAGCTATTTTCAGGTCTCTCCAGAGATGTTCGATCAGGTTCTAGTCCGGGCTCTGGATGATCCACTCAAGGACATTCAGAGACTTGTCCCAAAGCCACTCCTGCGTTGTCTTGGCTGTGTGCTTAGGGTCGTTGTCCTGTTGGAAGGTGAATGTTTGTTCCAAGTCTGAGGTGCTGAGCGCTATGGAGTAGGTTTTCATCAAGGATCTCTCTGTACTTTGATCCATTCATCTTTGCCTTGATCCTGACTAGTCTCCCAGTCCCTGCCACTTAAAAACATCCCCACAGCATGATGCTGCCACCACCATGCTTCAGCGTAGGGATGGTGCCAGGTTTCCTCCAGACGTGACGCTTGGCATTCAGGCCAAAGAGATCAATCTTGGTTTCATCAGACCAGAGAATCTTGTTTCTCATGGTCTGAGAGTCTTCAGGCGCCTTTTGGCAAACTTATAGCGGGCTGTCATGTGCCTTTTACTGAGGAGTGGCTTCCATCTGGCCACTCTACCATAAAGGCATAATTGGTGGAGTGCTGCAGAGATGGTTGTCCTTCTGGAAAGATCTCCCATCTCCACAGATTAACTCTGGAGCTCTTCGGGTTGTTGGTCACCTCCCTGACAAAGGCCCTTCTCCCCTGATTGCTCAGTTTGGCCAGGCGGCCAGCTCTAGAAAGAGTGGTTCCAAACTCTTCCATTTAAGAATGTTGAGACCACTGTGTTCTTGGGGACCTTCAATGCTGCAATAACGTTTGGGTACCCTTCCCCAGATCTGTGCCTCAAGCTCAATTTCGAGTCTCATAGCAAAGTGTCTAAATACTAATGTAAATATGGTATTTCTGTTTTGTTTTTTTATACATTTGCAAACATTTCACAAAACCTGTTTTTGCAATGTCATTACGGGGTATCGTGTGTAGATTGCTGAGGAAATTGTTTTATTTAATCCATTTTAGAACAAGGCTGTAACGTAACAAAATGTGTCTTGTTTCAGGAAACTATGTGTATGTCGCGGGACACTAATTCACAGGAGAGCCATTTGAACGTAAACTTTTTTTTAAATCAAAATGCAGCAGAAATGCCTTCTGGAGCATGTGAACTTAAATGTTCCTTAATAACAAACTTGTATGCCATCTGTAAATACTAATAAAATTGTTAAATTACGAGCCTAGTTGGTTTAGCCACAAAAAAAGACAGCAACCTTACCGCTAGCCATGGTTGGTTGAGATAATGAGTGGGCTGGACAGGCCGAGAGATGAGTTTGGATTGGTCTGCCATATAGCATGCTTCTGTCTATTTGAGCTGGTCAGTGTGTGTAAGTATTGCTGCTTTTTTAAAATGTATTGCGTAGTTAAACTGCATAAGTGTGGTCCTCTGTAGCTCAATTGGTAGAGCATGGCGCTTGTAACGCCAGCGTAGTGGGTTCGATCCCCGGGACCACCCATACGTAAAAATGTATGCACACATGACTGTAAGTCACTTTGGATAAAAGCGTCTGCTAAATGGCATATTATTATTTTACTACTATAAGTGTTGCTCTCCACTTTTTGGAGGACCGAGTTTTGAAATCAGTGGAATTAGAGTATGATAGCTAAGGAAATGGAGAAAACACCTGTCTCTTAGGGCAGCCATGGCATCCGTGAGGGAGACGCATCCATCCATGATGAATACGGGTAAGATAGTCTAGCTAGATACATTTTCAGATATTACACGTTTCTAATTTTGACAGAAAGTCGTTTTCATTTCAAGTTAAAGTGTACTGTTAGCTAGCTAGCTAACGTTAGCTGGCTGGCTCGCTAGCTAACGCTATGTGTATGATCTTATTATTCGTATCTCAGAGCCATTTGCTTTGCTAGTTATTGCCTAATGTTAGCTAGCTAACACTAAACCTGGTTGGTTAGCTACCTGCAGATTAATGCAGGGTAGTAACGTCATGAGCTGGGATTATGGTTCATTGTTTACCTAGCTAGCTAGCTACATGTCTTAACAAAAGACTCCACTATGCAAGTAACCATTTCGGGTGCATTCATAAATTCAGTCTAAGTATGCCAGAGCGTAGAATAGAATAACTGATTAATTTCTGAACACTCAACACCCGTTGAATATGGCCGGTGTCAGTAAACGTCGGCAAATAAGCATTATTAAATTATTGCCAGCAGCAAAGTTACATCACCAACGCTCTGGATAACATGAAAAAAGCCTAATCAGCTTTGCAAGGGCAAGTAAAATGGTCAGTGGGGTGCTCTCCCATTTGTGTCTGGAAGTAGCTAGCAAGCTAGCCAATGTTAGCCAGTTAGCTTGGGTGCTTGACTGCGTTTGTTAGGTCAGAGCGTTCGGATCAACCCTACTCATCGACCAGAGCGTCCAGTGTGCGCTCTGAAGGCTCCGAGAGCGAAACGAGATGGGTGCGGCTAAATCTTAAGAGGGTGTGAACGATGCTGAATGGGGTGTAGACAAAGAAGAGCTCTCCAGTAGGTACCAAAACATTCAATGGCCATTTTCTCAAAAGTGAGATTAGAAGTTTATAAACTTTCAAGCATAATTACTTTCCCATTGTTCCTCAAATGCAGTGTATGATATACCATTTTGTAGCTCTGTGTCTCTGCTTTTATCCAATGTAAAAAACACCATTTCAAATTTTGCTACATAAGACCGAATTTCTTTCCTTCTTAATGCATTTGAGCCTATCAGTTGTGTTGTGATAAGGTAGGGGTGGAATACAGAATATAGCCCTATTTGGTCCATATTATGGCAAGAACAGCTCAAATAAGCAAAGAGAAATGGTAGTCCATTATTACTTTAAGACATGAAGGTCAGTCAATACGGAAAATGTCAAGAACTTTGAAGGTTTCTTCAAGTGCAGTCGCAAAAAACCATCAAGCGCTATGATGAAACTGGCTTTCATGAGGACCGCCACAGGAAAGGAAGACCCAGAGTTACCTCTGCTGCAGAGGATAAGTTCATTAGAGTTATCTGCACCTCAGATTGCAGCCCAAATAAATGCTTCACAGAATTCAAGTAAGAGACACATCTCAACATCAACTGTTCAGAGCATACTACGTGAATCAGGCCTTCATGGTCGAATTGCTGCAAAGAAACCATTACTTTGTTTCTAACCGCTGTGTCTTTGTGAGGTGCAGAATAGGTGAACGGATGATCTCCGCATGTGTTGTTCCCACCGTGAAGCATGGAGGAGGAGGTGTGATGTTGTGGTGGTGCTTTGCTGGTGACACTGTCTGTGAATTATTTATAATTCAAGGCACACTTAACCAGCATGGCTACCACAGCATTCTGCAGCGATACGCCATCCCATCTGGTTTGCACTTAGTGGGACTATCATTTGTTTTTCTACAGGACAATGACCCAACACACCTCCATGCTGTGTAAGGGCTATTTGACCAATAAGGAGTGATGGAGTGCTGCATCAGATGACCTGGCCTCCACCAACACCATACCTCAAACCAATTGAGATGGTTTGGGACAAGTTGGACCGCGGAGTGAAGGAAAAGCAGCCAACAAGTTCTCAGCATACAGTTGTAGTCAGAAGTTTTTATACACTTAGGTTGGAGTCATTAAAACTCGTTTTTTTTTTTTTCAACCACTTCACAAATTTATTGTTAACAAACTATAGTTTTGGCAAGTCAGTTAGGACATCTACTTTGTGCATGACACAAGTAATGTTTCCAACAATTGTTTAAAGACAGATTATTTCACTTATAATTCACTGTATCACAATTCCAGTGGGTCAGAAGTTTACATACACTAAGTTGACTGTGCCTTTAAACAGCTTGGAAAATTCCAGAAAATGATATCATGGCTTTAGAAGCTTCTGATAGGCTAATTGATATAATTTGAGTCAATTGGAGGTGTACCTGTGGATGTATTTCAAGGCCTACCTTCAAACTCAGTGCCTATTTGCTTGACAAAATGGGCAAATCAAAAGAAATCAGCCAAGACCTCAGAAAATGTTTTGTAAACCTCCACAAGTATGGTTCATCCTTGGGAGCAATGTCCAAACGCCTGAAGGTACCACGTACATCTGACAAACAATAGTATGCAAGTATAAACTCCATGGGACCACGCAGCCGTCATACCGCTCAGGAAGGACACGTGTTCTGTCTCCTAGAGATGAACGTACTTTGGTGTGAAAAGTGCAAACCAATCCCAGAACAACAGCAAAGGACCTTGTGAAGATGCTGGAGGAAACGGGTACAAAATATCTATATCCACAGTAAAACGAGTCCTATATCGACATAACCTGAAAGGCCGCTCAGCAAGGAAGAAGCCATTGCTCCAAAACCGCCATAAAAAAGCCAGACTACGGTTTGCAACTGCACATGGGGACAAAGATCGTACTTTTTGGAGAAATGTCCTCTGGTCTGAAGAAACAAAAATAGAACTGTTTAGCCATAATGACCATTGATATGTTTGGAGGAAAAAGGGGGTGCCTTGCAAGCCGAAGAACACCATCCCAACCATGAAGCACGGGGTGGCAGCATCATGCTGTGGGGGTGCTTTGCTGCAGCAGGGACTGGTGCACTTCACAAAATAGATGGCATCATGAGGAAGGAACATTATGTGGATATATTGAAGCAACATCTCAAGACATCAGTCAGGAAGTTAAAGCTAGGTCGCAAATGGGTCTTCCAAATGGACAATGACCCCAAGCATACTTCCAAAGCTGTGGCAAAATGGCTTAAGGACAACAAAGTGAAGGTATTGGAGTGGCCATCACAAAGCCCTGACCTCAATCCTATAGAAAATTTGTGGGCAGAACTGAAAACGCGTGTGCGTGCAAGGAGGCCTACAAACCTGACACAGTTACATCAGCTCTGTCAGGAGGAATGGTCCAAAATTCACACACCTTATTGTGGGAAGCTTATGGAAGGCTACCCAAAAACGTTTGACCCAAGTTAAACATTTTAAAGGCAATGCTACCAAATACTAATTGAGTGTATGTAAACTTCTGACCCATTGGGAATGTGATGAAAGAAATAAAAGCTGAAATAAATCATTCTCTCTACTATTATTCTGACATTTCACATTCTTAAAATAAAGAGGTGATCCTAACTGACCTAACACAGGGAATTTTTACCAAGATTTAATGTCAGGAATTGTGAAAAACTGAGTTTAAATATATTTGGCTAAGGTTTATGTAAACTTCCGACTTCAACTGTATGTTTGAAATCTTTCAAGACTGTTGGAAAAGCATTCCAGGTGAAGCTGGTTGAGGGAATGCGAAGAATTTGCAAAGCTGTCATTAAGGCAAAGAGTGGCTACTTTGAAGAATCTCAAACATAAAATATACCACTTTTTGGTTTGCTTCCTGTCTTTACGTTTGTTGTGGGGTTTTATTTTGTTTGCCTCTTCTTGGGCATATTTAGTGGGCGCTCATGGTGGATGTCTTTTAGGTCCCAGTTGTTGTTTCTAGTCAACTTTCAGAGGACACCCCCATGAGTGTCTTTCAGAACCCCTCTTAGAACCCCACCTGTTTTGTTTTGGTTGTTGTTAGTGACTCTTTGTTAGTTCTCCCTTCTGTTTGAGCAAAATAAAAATGTTTCTTGCTGGGGAACGTAACAATACCATTTAGGATTAACTAGTTAAGTTATCCACTGCTAGCTAATAACAACAATAATAATAATAGCTAGTGTTTTACATTACTTGTTAACACTAATAGTTAGCTAACACAGATTATAAGGGTTAGTTAGCTAATTAAACATTTTTGCTTATACACAGGTAAGTTATTCTTAAAATTGGAACCACTAGTGTGTTGACAAAGAATGCTAGCTAGCTAACTTACCAGCTACCTAGCTAGAAACAGTACCCGAGTTCAAAAGTTAGATAACTAACTATGTAGCGTGCTAATCCAAAAAAGCTATCTAAACAAATTATGTCATGTCGATGTTAGCTAGCTAGCTGGCAGCTAATTTTTGCTAGCTAGCTAGAGCAGTTAACTAGCCAACAAATGTGATCGACTTATCTAGCTAACTATATCATGACAAAGATCATCTCGTGCTAAATCGTCTAGCAGAATTTCTTTATTCAAAAATATGTTTTAGGTTTTACCTAATGCTAGCTAGCTAGCTAGCTAACATTTCCTAGCAAGCTATGTAGAACAGAGGTGCTAGCAAACGTTAGCTAGCTAGCTACTTAGCTAGCTAGCTACTTAGCTAGCTGAGCAGCATGCTAAATCATCCAGCAGAAATTCTGTATCCATTTTTCACAACACACTGTCACATGATGTCAGTGTCAACACAAAATTCTGGGCACATTCCAGGTCGTCTTTATTTCAAACACGTTTCACAGATGGGCAGATTTCACAAAGTTGGGGGAATTTCTCAGAAACCAGCGAACCACACCAATAATATGGCTTGAGATCTTCAGATGAGGCCTTCCTGGAATAAATAAGTGTACCAATGCATCATCAAGGTTTCAAAAGTGGGGCAAGACACATCATGGGAGTTGACCATTGGTTTGAAAAATAACTATTTATGTTCCTGGGACAGAGCAACAATGTATCACACCCAAAAGGTAGACAATAACAATTGTTTAACCGTGCAACCATTGAAAATAAGGTTGCATGATGATACATAAAGGTTAAATATTATACGCATTTGTAAGTGCATTTATAAATGGTGAATAGCTGGAGGTAAATAGTGGCTCACTATTTGGCAAGCACTGACTGGCTATCGCACTATTTTGACCAGTTTGTTATAACGCATTTATTAACAGTTTATAATGCATTTACAAATTATTAAATAACAGTTAATCACGTAATTACAAACCCTTTATAAACCCTTTACAAATGGAACCTTATTGTAAGGTTTTACAGACACTTTCTTATCTGGATTGTATATTAAACATATATCTCCACCAAAACATATTACAAATGGCATTTTGTCTTAAATATGATAAGGAAAAACATACACAAGAAATACAAATGAATAAATCAAGAACTTTATTGAAATAACTTTATTGAGGGGAATACAGTCGTGGTCAAAAGTTTTGAGAATGACACAAGTATTGGTCTTCACAAAGTTTGCTGCTTCAGTGTTTTTAGATGTTTTTGTCAGATGTTACTATGGTATACTGAAGTATAATTACAAGCATTCCATACGTTTCAAAGGCTTTTATTGACAATTACATTAAGTTTATGCAAAGAGTCAATATTTGCAGTGTTGACCCTTCTTTTTCAAGACCTCTGCAATCCGCCCTGGCATGCTGTCAATTAACTTCTGGGCCACATCCTGACTGATGGCAGCCCATTCTTGCATAATCAATGCTTGGAGTTTGTCAGAATTTGTGGGGTTTTGTTTGTCCACCCACATCTTGAGGATTGACCACAAGTTCTCAATGGGATTAAGGTCTGGGGAGTTTCCTGGCCATGGACCCAAAATGTTGATGTTTTGTTCCCCGAGCCACTTTGTTATCACTTTTACCTTATGGCAAGGTGCTCCATCATGCTGGAAAAGGCATTGTTCATCACCAAACTGTTCTTGGATGGTTGGGAGAAGTTGCTTTTGGAGGATGTGTTGGTACCATTCTTTATGCATGGCTGTGTTCTTAGGCAAAATTGTGAGTGAGCCCACTCCCTTGGCTGAGAAGCAACCCCACACATGAATGGTCTCAGGATGCTTGACTGTTGGCATGACACAGGACTGATGATAGCGCTCACCTTGTCTTCTCCGGACAAGCTTTTTTCCGGATGCCCCAAACAATCGGAAAGGGGATTCATCAGAGAAAATGACTTTACCCCAGTCCTCAGCAGTCCAATCCCTGTACCTTTTGCAGAATATCAGTCTGTCCCTGATGTTTTTCCTGGAGAGAAGTGGCTTCCTCGCTGCCCTTCTTGACACGAGGCCATCCTCCAAAAGTCTTTGCCTTACTGTGCGTGCAAATGCACTCACACCTGCCTGCTGCCATTCCTGAGCAAGCTTTGCACTGGTGGTGCCCGATCCCGCAGCTGAATCAACTTTAGGAGACGGTCCTTGCGCTTGCTGGACTTTCTTGGGTGCCCTGAAACCTTCTTCACAACAATTGAACCTCTCTCCTTTAAGTTTTTGATGATCCGATAAATGGTTGATTTAGGTGCAATCTTACTAGCAGCAATATCCTTGCCTGTGAAGCCCTTTTTGTGCAAAGCAATGATGACGGCATGTGTTTCCTTGCAGGTAACCATAGTTAACAGAGGAAGAACAATGATTTCAAGCACCACCCTCCTTTTAAAGCTTCCAGTCTGTTATTCTAACTCAATCAGCATGACAGAGTGATCTCCAGCCTTGTCCTCGTCAACACTCTCACCTGTATTAACGAGAGAATCACTGACATGATGTCAGCTGGTCCTTTTGTGGCAGGGCTGAAATGCAGTGGAAATGTTTTTTGGGGGATTAAGTTCATTTTCATGGCAAAGAGGGACTTTGCAATTAATTGCAATTCATCTGATCACTCTTCATAACATTATGGAGTATATGCAAATTGCCATCATAAAAACTGAGGCAGCAGACTTTGTGAAAATTAATATTTGTGTCATTCTCAAAACATTTGACCACGACTGTACATCTTGTCACTCAAACCTGAAAACAATGTGCAAGTTACATCGAACATTGGAATTACAAAATATGAAAAGAATAAGGCATATAATAACAATAATTTGCTTTTACAACTTCAATTTCTTCTGTACATACTAGGACTATAGCCTAATACACAAAGCATATAGCCTTATCCCTTCCACTAGGCCTACAGCCTAATACACGAAGAGTCAGAATGGGAACAAATTAAAAGCATGCAAGGGAGGCGAAATTACCAGTGACAATCTGAGCTATGGGGTGAAGACTAGGAGTCCCTTTACTAGTGCCTATGTCCACAATGAGTCACACTCACAATCTAAAACAAATTCGGTCCCCTACGATGCATAACTGCTTGCCCTTGAATTCTGGTGCAACATAAACAAACCACGTCATATCCTCCTTTCTATCTTTCTATCTAGGCTGTGAGGGTGTGATTGTCCCTCAGCCCTGTCTGCAGCCTCAGCAGCATGTTGTCCAGTCTCTCCAGCCCTGTCTGTCCTTGGCAGCGTGGTGACAGCTTCTATTGACTGCCTGGTGCATGGGAGACATGTCTACAATGTCGTCCTCCTCACAGAGTTCTGAGAGCTGACAGTCCACCAGTGTCAGAGAGGATGGAGAGAGAGTGAGAATTGTACAGAGTGTATATATAGGTTTAATAGTACATAACAATAATACATCATTGACAGTTAACAGCTAGACCAGGATGATTTAGTTACCAAGCTGACTACTAGCCCAAGCCTTCAAAAGTCATAGCTATTAGCTAGCTACCTAGCTACATTAATTCTAGCAATCAACAGCCAGCAGACTTACTATTTTTAGGAATCATCACAGATAACCACACTTAATTAGATATCTAGCTATGTGTTTATTTATCTATCTAACTAGCTAATAACTATATGGCTATCATAAATTGTACTGGTAAAATAGCAATCCTGAAGCAGCCCTCTCTTGTGTCTGGTTAGTTAGCCACATCATTTGAGCTTTTAGCTAATACCAATGACAAATGCTCAAATTGTCAAGATGAGCATTGTACTTTGTACAGCTATCAAAGAAAGCATTAACATAAAAAAGACGAGAAGAGCTAAATCAAGTAGGCTAGCTAGATACCTTGCCTCGTTTTGTCTGACGGTGAACTCGGCTTGTTATCAAAAGTTCCTTTCACAGACCCATATTATCAATCGGAGAACATACTCTATTATATTATAATTACCAACATAAAAATGAATTATATACAACTTCTTACCTTAATATTGTTGTCCTGATCTCAATGACAAAGCTGTCAAAGTTATAAGAAACCCTGGGTGCATGTTTTGGTTTTTGCCCTATTCAAATAATCAAAGCTTGATGATGAGTTGGTTATTTGAATCAGCCGTGTAGTACTAGGGCAAAAACCAAAATGAGCACCCGGGGGGGCCCCAGGACCGAGTTTGGGAAACCCTGATTTGCTCTTATCCAGAACAACTTATAGTTAGTGCATTCATCTTAAGGTAGCTAAGAGAGACAACCGCATGTGAAGAACTGAAGTGATGAAAGCTTTCTTAAAGGGATACTTTGGGATTTTGCCAATGAAGCCCTTTATCTACTTCCCCAGAGTCAAAGTCACTCATGGATACCATTTTTATGTCTCTGCGTGCAGTTTGAAGGAAGTTGCTAACTGGAGATGGCACAATTGCTAACTACTGTTAGTACAATGACTGGAAGTCTATGGTATCAGCTAGCATGCTAGTAGATACCATAGACTTCCATTCATTATATGGTATCAGCTAGCATGCTAGTAGATACCATATACTTCCATTCATTATATGGTATCAGCTAGCATGCTATGAAGAATCTCAAATATAAAATATATTTGGATTTGTTTAACACTTTTTTGGTTACTACATGATTCCATATGTGTTATTTCATAGTTTTGATGTCTTCACTATTATTCTACAATGTAGAAAATAGTACAAATAAAGAAAAACCTTGGAATGAGTAGGTGTGTCCAAACCTTTGACTGGTACTGTATATATAAAACACAGGACAAGTTTTTGTCTCTCCTGGGCCTTTAAATGCCTGATCTGTCACCTGTGTACACCTGATACACACATCTAACTCTGTCCCCTCTCTCCCCCTCACCCCTTCTCTCCCCTTTACCCCCTCCCCAGTCCTAACCTGACGTGGAGAGATATGCAGCACTTGTCCGTGCTGACCTCCAAGAGAAACCAGCTGCATGACGAGGTGCACCAGTGGCGGAGGAACGGCGTGGGCCTGGAGTTCAACCACCTGTTTGGTTACGGTGTGCTGGACGCTGGCAGCATGGTCAAGATGGCCAAGGAGTGGAAGACCGTCCCTGAGCGTTTTCACTGTGTGGCTGGTTCATTGCAGGATGTCCAGTAAGTGACCGGGCGCTGTACAGACTGAATAAATTACCGACCTGGCTGAAACTAGAATTAGTACTAAGATGTATGTTTGTTTTAATAGGTTTGTTTGTATTTAGCTATGTCTGCTCCAGTGCCTGACTGTGTGGTTCCTCTGTAGTTCGACCCATATTGACAGCTCTATCTGTCTGCAGAATAGGCCTGTGGGTTACAAAGTGCTGTGATGCTGATTACAGTGGGTTCATCTGGTCTGTGGGGGATAGGCTCAGTTTTCATTTGCAAATTTAGGCATGACATGCCAGCAACAATTGCTGACACTACACATCCAAGTATATCTGACCAAATTATGAAAGACAAGCATTGTCATTTTGAGTTCCGTAAAGTGAGTGTGAAAGAGGTGAAAAAATTATTGTTGTCTATCAAAAATGACAAGCCACCGGGGTCTGACAATTTGGATGGAAAATTACTGAGGATAATAGCGGACGATATTGCCACTCCTATTTGCCATATTTTTAATTTAAGCCTACTAGAATGTGTGTGCCTCCAGGCTTGGAGGGAAGCAAAAGTCATTCCACTACCTAAAAATAGTAAAGCCCCCTTAACTTGCTCAAATAGCCGACCAATTAGCCTGTTACCAACCCTTAGTAAACTATTGGCGAAAATTGTGTTTGAACAGATACAATGCTATTTTGCAGCAAACAAATTGACAACAAACTTTCAGCATGCTTATAGAGAAGGACATTCAACAAGCACAGCACTTACGCAAATGACTGATGATTGGCTGAGAGAAATTGATGATAAAAAGATTGTGAGGGCTGTTTTGTTAGACTTCAGTGTGGCTTTTGGCATTATCGATCATAGTCTGCTGCTGGAAAAACGAATGTGTTATGGCTTTATTCCATCTGCTATATTGTGGATACAGAGTTACCTGTCTAACCGAACACAGAGGGTATTCTTTAATGGAAGACTCTCCAACATAATCCAGGTAGAATCAGGAATTCCCCCAGGGCAGCTGTCTAGGCCCATTACATTTTTCAATCTTTACTAATGACATGCCACTGGCTTTGAGTAAAGCCAGAGTGTCTATGTATGTGGATGACTCAACACTATAAATGTCAGCTACTACAGCAACTGAAATGACTGCAACACTTAACAAAGGGTTGTAGTTAGTTTCAGAATGGGTGGCAAGGAATAAGTTAGTCCTAAATATTTCTAAAACTAAAAGATTGTATTTGGGACAAATCATTCACTAAACGCTAAACCTCAACTAAATCTTGTAATAAATAATGTGGAAATTGAGCAAGTTGAGGTGACTAAACTGCTTGGAGTAACCCTGGATTGTAAACTGTCATGGCCTAAACATATTAATAATAAAAAAGTGCTGCTCTACCTTCTTAACAGCACTATCAACAAGGCAGGTCCTACAGGCCCTAGTTTTGTCACACCTGGACTACTGTTCAGTCATGTGGTCAGGTGCCACAAAAAAGGACTTAGGAAAATTGCAATTGGCTCAGAACAGGATGTACATAGAGAGCTAATATTAATAATATGCATGTCGATCTCTCCTGGCACAAAGTGGAGGAGAGATTGACTTCATCACTACTTGTGTTTATGAGAGGTGTTGACATGTTGGGTGCACCGAGCTGTCTGTTTGAGCTACTGGCGCACAGCTCGGTCACCCATGCATACCCCACAAGACATGCCACCAGAGGTCTCTTCACAGTCCCCAAGACCAGAACATACTATGGGAGGCTCACAGTACTACATAGAGCCATGACTACATGGAACTCTATTCCACATCAAGTAACTGATGCAAGTAGTAAAATTAGATTTAAAAAAAAAAACAGATTAAAAACACCTTATGGAACAGCAGGGACTGTGAAGCAACACAAACATAGGCACAGACACATGCATACACACACACGATAACATACGCACGATACACACACATACACATGGATTTTTGTACTGTAGATAGGTTGTAGTGGTGGAGTAGGGGCCTGAGGGCACACAGTGTGTTGTGAAATTTGTGAATGTATTGTAATGTTTTAAAAATTGTGTGAACTGCCTTAATTTTGCTGGAAGCCAGGACGAGTAGCTGCTGCCTTGGATCATGTATACAAATACATGATCCATCACTACCTGTTACAGCTGTGTGTCTGCCCCTGGTCTCCCCTTCGCTCTCTTTCTCATCCACTGCATCTGCAGCTTTGGGCTTCTGTGTCTCTCTGTGTGAGGTTCACACGCACGCACGCAGACACACTATAATCAGATCACATCGCTTGGAATACCTTGCCTTAGCAACACTGTCAATTTGACCGAATGACAAGCATGGAGGGACATCATCATACCTGTGGGTGTGTGGGTGGATTCTGTGTGTGTTTGGGGACCCTCTAATAGAATATCAACCCTCTCATTTTCCTTCCTAATCGGTGGTCCATAGTAGTGATGGCCTCCGCTAACACAGCAGAATGGCAATTACCCTTGGCCACATCCAGAGAGTGTGTGTGTCTCCCTCAGAGGAGCCCAGTCATGGCAGAGTCAATTGTTTGTGTGTGTTAGTGTGTGAAGATAAGGCGTGTATCTGAGCCCCTGTAATGACCGCCTTTACGTCCAGGGTAGAGGAGGCTGCTGTCAACCAGCAGGCCTGAGCAGAACAACAGAGAACCCTGGGGAACACATTTTTTATTTTACTAGGCAAGTCAGTTAAGAACAAATTCTTATTTACAATGACGGCCTACACCGGCCAAACCCGGACAACGCTGGGCCAATTGTGCGCCGCCCTATGGGACTCCCTGTCACGATCGTCGTAAGCAACGGACCAAGGCGCAGCGTGATATGCGTACATCTTTTAATGAGTACTTTAAACACGAACAACAAAACAACAAAACGATACGTGAAGTCCTAAGGTTAACAAACACAAACCTCTCCGGAACAAGATCCCACAAATGACAAGTGCAAAACAGGCTGCCTAAGTATGGTTCCCAATCAGAGACAACGAGCCACAGCTGTCTCTAATTGGGAACCACCCTGGCCAACATAGAAATAAACAATCTAGAAAGAAACACATAGAAACTACACACCCTGGCTCAACATTTAAGAGTCCCCAGAGCCAGGGCGTGACACTCCCAATCACTGCCGGTTGTGATACAGCCTGGATTCAAACCAGGGGGTCTGTAGTGACGCCTCAAGCACTGAGATGCAGTGCCTTAGACCACTGCGCCACTAGGGAGCCCAATACGGCAGAAATCACAAGCGTTCATTAGTGTGGAAACCCTTTACACTTAAAGTGGAACTGACAGCGTTTAGCAACATTACATCGTAATAAAATCTGTTTATATACACCCCCAGGAGGACACCTTTTATTACGTTTTCTGACAAACTAGCACTTGGACATGGTCATTTTCACGTTTTCATAAATTCATAGAATATTTGGGAACGATATATCAATATAGAGTGGGAAGCGGCCGTGCATTGCTGCCTGCCATAAAATAAGGGACAGAGTCTGACAGACCAACCAACCTGCACATGTCCTCTGTGCCATTGTTATTGTTATGTATGGTTATTTTGACCCTTGATTATTGTTGTTACTGATTGTCCCGTTGACAATCTTGATTATTATTATTTTAAATATATTAATATTTTAAATGTATCACTTAATCTCCAAAGTACGCTTTGGCAATATGTACATTGTTACGTCATGCCAATAAAGGAGAGAGAGAGAGAGAGAGAGAGAGAGAGAGAGAGAGAGAGAGAGAGAGAGAGAGAGAGAGAGAGAGAGAGAGAGAGAGAGAGAGAGAGAGAGAGAGAGAGAGAGAGAGAGAGAGAGAGAGAGAGAGAGAGAGAGAGAGAGGAGAGAGAGAGAGAATATCCGCGGACAGGGCCAACAAGGCAGGATATAACCCCACCCACTTTGCCAAAGCACAGCCCCTCACACATACAGGGATATCAACAAACCACTAACTTACAAGGCTGAGTAAAGCCCACGAAGATCTCCTTCACCACATGACCAAAAGTATGTGGACACCTGCTCGTCGAGCATCTCATTCCAAAGTCATGGGCATTAATATGGAGTTGGTCCCCCCTTCGCTGCTATAACAGTCTCCACTCTTCTGGGAAGGCTTTCCGCTAGATATTGGAACATTGCTGCGGGGACTTGCTTCCATTCAGCCACAAGAGCATTAGTGAGACGGGCACTGATGTGGGGCGATTAGGCCTGGCTGGCAGTCGGCGTTCCAATTCATCCCAAAGGTGGTCGATGGGGTTGAGGTCAGGGCTCTGTGCAGGCCAGTCAAGTTCTTCCACACAGTTCTCGACAAACCATTTTTGTATGGACCTCGCTTTGTGCACGGGGGCATTGACATGCTGAAACGGGAAAGTGCCTTCCTCAAACTGTTGCCACAAAGTTGGAAGCACAGATTCATCTAGAATGTCATTGTATGCAGTAGCGTTAAGATTTCCCTTCACTGGAACTAAGAGACCTAGCCCGAACCATGAAAAACATCCCCAGATCATTATTCCTCCTCCACCAGACTTTACAGTCGGTACTATGCATTTGGGCAGGTAGCATTCTCCTGGCATCCGCCAAACCCAGATTCGTCCGTCGAAGTGATTAATTACTCCAGAGAACCTGTTTCCACTGCTCCAGAGTCCAATGGCGGTGTGCTTTACACCACTCCAGCCGACGGTTGGCATTGCGTATGGTGATTTTAGGCTTATGTGCGGCTGCTCGGCCATGGAAACCCATTGCATGAAGCTCACGACAAACAGCTATTGTGCTTCCAGAGGCCGTTTGGAACTTGGTAGTGAGTGTTGCAACCAAGGAGAGATTATTTTTACGCGCTACGCGCTTCACTTGGCGGTCAAGTTCTGTGAGTTTGTGTGGCCTATCACTTCGTGGCTGAGCTGTTGTTGCTCCTAGACGTTTCCACTTCACAATAACAGCACTTACAGTTGACCGAGGCAACTCTAGCAGGGCAGAAATTTGACAAACTGACTTGTTGGAAAGGTGGCATCCTATGATGGTGCCACGTTGAAAGTCACTGAGCCATTCTACTGCAAATGTTTGTCTATGGAGATTGCATGGCGGTGTGCTCAATTTTATACACCTATCAGCAACGGGTGTGGCTGAAGTAGCCGAATCCACTAATTTGAAGGGGTGTCCACATACCTTTGTATATATAATGTATTTTTGACTGATATTATGATTGTCTGTTTCATATCTGCAAAGTAGTTAAAACGCTGTCAGTTCCACTTTAAGCACAGAGAGAGGAAACAAAGATAGTCTGTGGGTGGAATGTGCTGTGCTCATACATGGGTTGTTATAGTCAAATACAGTGCCATAGCCATCTTCAGCCACAAGTGTCATGATATTATAGAAAACATAATGGATAATGTTGTTTGTTGTTTGAGTTCTTTGTAGTTCCAATACTGGGAGATTCAGAGATGGCAGAGATGCCAGATCTGTCCCAGTTTGAAATGGAGAGGATTTTTTATCAGAGCGTTATTTTAGGCTAAAATGAGCACCGCAGCACAGCACAATCAAGACTCCATCTTCTCTAATTGCAACCTCACAGAGCAGCAGTCCCCATTGTGACAAAGAGCTCATTATAATGCAGAACATCAGGACTGGATAGCCCCCCTGATAATGGAAAGTGTATCACAAACAAACACACACACACACACACACACACACTACTCAACATCAGTGACTCCTGTGTGTGTTCTGCCCTGCTACCTGGTTCAGAACTTCTCATTATCAATCCTGCTGCTGTAGTGGGGTCAGCTCGACTAGGGTTTGGAATTTTTCCTCTCGGCTGGTCTCTCCTTTTAGACAGCTCTCCTCTCCATTCTCCTCACCTCTGTGTGTTTTATGACCATAGGGATTAAATTACTGTTTTTTTCCCATTCACTTTGGCACCTTTTCAGATATAAGTGGTATTTTTTCAAAACTCTAAGTACAGAACTGATAACACTTGTAATGGCCACTGTCTTATGTTCAGAACCTTTGATTGTGCATTAACACATATTAGCAGTCACTCTTATCCAGAGCGACTTACATGAGCAATTAGGGTTAAGTGCCTTGCTTAAGGGCACATCGACAGATTTTTCACCTAGTCGGCTCGGGGATTAGAACCAGCGACCTTTCGGTTACTGGCACAACACTCCTACCCACTAAGCTACCTGTCGCCCTGAGTCATTCATGCAAAATCTAAGTTTTCCATGAAATACCTTGAGCGCATTTAGTTTAGTCACCAATACATCAGATAATGATAGGCTGACCATTTAGTCATTTTAACTACCATTTAATCCAAAAGCAAAAAATACAAGATACCCATTTCAAAACTGTTCTTTTTGAAGTGCTGAATAGAAAGCATAGTAGATGGTAAATATATTTTCCCATACAGTATTTGACTATAACTTGATATGCAATTTTTTATATCCAATGGCAGGGTGTGAGCATGTTGAGGAATATGTCAGTCTTACAGTTGTATTATCCTTATACAGTACATACATAGAATAAATAATCACAAATAGGGGTATTGTAAAGCAGTTGGCTACTGCCAACATATAGCACGGTGCCCCATGCACATTGTACAATGTCCACATTCTACAAGATCACCTTTTCTATGTGACTTGTCAACTGATACAGTATCGTGTGTCTCTGTGCTGGAGACGAAATTGACGAGTGGAATATATTGTTATATACAACCCAGGTATTTCAGCAGTGCATTACACTAGACTCTTTCCACTTTGTCCTATTGAAGCACACTGACTGATGGAGAATGATGATGTAGTAAAAATTGTTCGTCCTCAGCTGCAACACTCACTACCGAGTTCCAAACGGCATATGGAAGCAACGTCAGCACAATAACTGTTCGTCGGGATCTTCATGAAATGGGTTTCCATGGCCGAGCAGCCGCACACAAGCCTAAGATCACCATGCGCAATGCCAAGTGTCGGCTGGAGTGGTGTAAAGCTCGCTGCCATTGGACTCTTGAGCAGTGGAAACAAGTTCTCTGGAGTGATGAATCATGCTTCACCATCTGGCAGTCTGATGTACAAATCTGGGTTTGGCGGATGCCAGGAGAACGCTACCTGCCCCAATGCGACTGTAACATTTGGTGGAGGAGGAATAATGGTCTGGGGCTGTTTTTCATGGTTCGGGCTAGGCCTCTTAGTTCCAGTGAAGGGAAATCTTAACGCTACTGCATACAATGACATTCTAGACGAATCTGTGCTTTCAACTTTGTGGCAACAGTTTTGGGAAGGTGCTTTCCTGCACAAAGCGAGGTCCATACAGAAATGGTTTGTTGAGATTGGTGTGGAAGAACTTGACTGGCCTGCACAGAGCCCTGAACCCCATCGAACACCTTTGGGATGAATTGGAACGCCGACTGCGAGCCAGGCCTAATTGCCCAACATCAGTGCCCGACCTCACTTGCTTCCATTCTTGTAGCTGAATGGAAGCAATTGCCCGCAGTAAAGTTCCAACATCTAGTGGAAAGCCTTCCCAGAAGAGTGGAGGCTGTTATAGCAGCAAATGGGGGGACCAACTCCATATTAATGGCCATGATTTTGGAATGAGATGTTCGACGAGCAGGTGTCCACACACTTTTGGTCATGTAGCGTATTATGTATTCGTGCACACACACGCAGATACACACACACACACACACACACACACACACACACACACACACACACACACACACACACACACACGTTTATTTTACTATCATTGTGGGGAAAAAAATATTGATTCCCATTCAATATCATATTTCCCCTAACCCCTAAACCAAACCCTATCTCTAACCCTAAACCTAACCTTAACTCCAAAACCTAACCCTAATTCTAGCCCTAACCCTAATTGTAACCCTAACCCTAAACCTAAAATAGCCTTTTTCCTTCTGGGGACCGGCATAATGGCCCCGCTTATCCAAATTTTCCTTGTTTTACCCTGCTTGTGAGGACTTCTGGTGACCACAAGAATAGTAAACCCACATTCTGCTTTTTAATGATGGATACTGTCATATCAGTGCAGAATTCAATATCCCTCTTGTCTCAAGATGTGATGTGATCCAGTGACATTTTGGTGGCAGACAGGTGCCACTGATGAGGTTCACAGTTCACCTCATTACCTTCTCAGCTGAGCCACCCGGCTGAAATGCATTCTAGGTTATGGCTCTACAGGATACAGTTACATCACAGCATCTACATAGTGGCCTGAAACGGGTTCATACATTAACTTTTCTCTCACGTTGTATTTCTATTGTGAGGTACATTGCAATACAAAACGTGTATGAATAGTGCTCTAACATTTATTTATCATTATCAATGATAAAATCTATGAAAAACATTAGTTTTGAAGGTATTGTTGATAATATCCCATATAACCTTTCAGAAAACAAGAAAAGCGCTCGACAAATTCAGTGTTAAATTCATTAACTTTATGTCAGAGCCATAACAGCATCCATCATGTTTTCTGTGAAACCACATGATGGTGTATTGTACTGAATCCCAATGACTCACCAAATCACCCCTAATATGACTATCTCACCATCGGACCTCAGCACTCTCCTATCCTCTGTGCTCAGCATATTATTCTACCAAAGTGCTTCCAAGAACACTTCGCTCTCTCTCTGTCTCTCTGTCTCTCTGTCTCTCTCTCGCTCTCTCTCTCTCTCTCTCTCTCTCTCTCCCTCAGCTAATCTGACAGCGCAGTAATGGCCCAGAGATATGGCCCATAACTCTAATAATGACATTAGGTCCACTTTATCCCCATCATCCTCTCCTCAGCTCAGCTTCTCCATCTCTCTCTCTACCCAGTGGTCCACCCTGCCCTAATGAGCTCTCAGCCCCCTCAACCCCTTACCACAAAGCACGGTTCCTGTGTGTGCATGCTCGTAAGACTTTGGCTGGGGACCCTCATCTGGACAAGGCGATCTCCCTGCACCAGTTCTCTGCCATGGGTCATATAGGAAGGAAGATAATAGAATTCTCAGGCGGTCCAATATGACTGTGGGTTGCTACTGTAGGTCCTTGTAACCCTGGAGGGATGAACAGTGAAAGGCTGTGGTTGTGATTGTGTGGCTCAGTAGAGCATGGCACTTGCAACGTCAAGGGTTGTGGGTTTGTTTCCCGTTAGGGAAAATGTATGCACAGATGACTGTAAATCGCTTTGGATAAAAGCGTCTGCTAAATGGAATATATTGTATTAGTAGAGCCTGTTGCTTTTGACCAGATGGAGAAAAAAAACTGTTATAAGGAGTTAAATTGAGTTTTTCCATTTTATTCTGTCCTTTTCTTGTTTTAAAATCCATACATTACTTACAATGCAAGTTCAATGTTTAAAAAGCAAAAAAAGCAGAAGTCCCCTTCAATCCTAAATATTACATAGCATAGTAATAATATGCCATTTAGCAGACGCTTTTATCCAAAGCAACTTACAGTCATCTGTGCATACATTTTTACGTATGGGTGGTCCCGGGGATCGAACCCACTACCCTGGCGTTACAAGCGCCGTGCTCTACCAGCTGAGCTACAGAGGATGTTGAATACATTTCATGAGATTATTTTTAATTATATATCATGAAGACCACTGACATATTTCTAAAATCGACCTAGATTGTTTATTTATCCATTTATTAATATCTGTGTGTGAACCATATGGTAGTCAATAGGAGGCAGGCTCTGTCATAGTATTGTTCTTTCCAAGGTGGTCCTAGTGGCTGTCCTCAGGGTGTCTCCATGGAGTTCTACCGTGCTACACTCTCTCATTTTCCTCCATTCATTATTCACCACTTAGTCATTCACATTTTCACAACAGTTCTTGCTTATTCAGAAAGGGCTAGAATATTATTCTGTGTATTTTTCAGCCAGTCTCTCTGGGCAAGGTTAATGGTGTTGTCGATGGTATTGCCTCTGGCACGAACAGTGATGTGTCCTTGAGAGAAACATCGTCTTAAAGCATTTTGAAATGCATGAGTTATTTCAGGTACTATAGTATTTAAAACGTTAATACAATTGCATATTTTATGATGTAGAAATGCTTTATTTTGATATATCAAGTGAATCTCAATCTCCAATAATGAATGCCAGCTAAGATAGCGGTAGCAGGAAGGTAACATATTCTAGTCTAAGCCTAACCAAAAAAGCCCACGCTTAGGTTTCTTAGAATAATTTCATGGCAAAGCAAGCATGGTTTCTATCATTGTTGTGTTTCCGTGGGGGAGCAAGATTTGAGGCAGCAGTAGTGCTCTGTCAGGGTCTGCTGGGTCCATGCTAAGTAGGTCAGGTAATAGAAGGAGCTTTGAGGACAGAGGTCTAGACAGACTGGGCTATGGTAAATACTCTGCACTCGCAGGCTGAGTCTCAGATTTAATTAGATACAGGGACACCTGTGGTCTCATGGAGCTGACCAGAATACTGATTATGTTATTATTTCTCTCTCTGTCATTCTGTTTCTTCCTCTCTCGCCTCTCTCTATTCCTTAATACGTTTTTGTATGTTTTGTTAACTCTATCTTCCTGTTTTCCTTTCTCCATCTCCTGGTATTTCTGTCATTCTCTGACCCTTCCTTTCCCACCTTTCATCTTCTGTCTCCCTTTCATCCCTCTTTCCATCTCTCTCCCCCTGTTGTCCCTTTTCATTATCCTCCCTTTATCACCCTTTGTCCTTTGTTTCACTTGACTCTTCTTTTGCCTTCACCTTCCTAATCCTTCTCTCCCTCCACCCCCCCCCCCCACCCTCCCTTCAGTAAGATCCAGTCGGGTGACAAGCTGATCCTGGCCATCTCCACTGACTCCTGCCAGGGGAAGGACAACTTTGTCCGCTACCTGGAGCACGTACAGGCCGTGGTCACCGTCAACGGTAGTCGCCGTGGTGACCTCAACATCAACATGACCTCCCCCATGGGCACCAAGTCCATCCTGCTGAGCTGCCGGCCCCGGGACGACGACGCCAAAGTGGGCTTTGACAAGTGGCCCTTCATGACCACACACACCTGGGGAGAGGACCCCCGCGGGACCTGGGTCCTGGAGGTGGGCTTCCAGGGAGACGAGCCACAGAGAGGGGCCCTGAAGGAGTGGACCCTCATGCTCCATGGAACACAAAGTGCCCCTTATATAGACCAGATAGTGCACGACTATCAGTCCAAACTAGCCATGTCAAAAAAGGAGGAGCTGGAGGAAGAGCTGGACGAGGCAGTGGAGAGGAGTCTGAAGAGCCTGCTGAGTAAAAACTAGCTGACGTAACTAACTAAACACCGTCTGGTCAGGTCTGCATGCCGAGCCGGTCTCGCTCTCTACTTCTCTCCTATCTTTCTCTCACTTCCCCTCTCTCTTTCTTTCTCGCACTTTCCACTTCTCTCACTTTCTCTGCCCCTTCTCTCTTTCTTTTGCCCTCTCTCACACTTTCTCTCCCCACTCCCTTTCTGTCCTCTCTCATTTTCTTTATTTTCTCCCCTCCTACCCTTTTCTCTGCTTTTTGTTTTTCTGTGTTTATATTAGCCCTCCACTTCCAATGAATGTTTCTTGTAATCCGATGATGATAATAAAAGTGTAGCCTTCAAATAATCTGTCCTGTAGAGAAAAGAAAACGATCCTATCTGGCTTTCGGTCTATGTTTTTTTTAAAACTTGACAAAAATGTATATAAACATAATATATCAACCATATGGTGTTCTTGCTTCCCCCCACCCGTCCACCTCTGGTGAAACAACTGTTGTACAGTTTGTGACTGTACATTATTTTCAGTGTCAATCTACTTAAAGTTTAATACCTTGCAAACAGAGCAGTGATACTTCTTTCTGTTTATATTTTTGTGACAAGCAACTGTTTCTATATAAACAAGACAAGGATCGTGTGATTCATTTCGCTACCTGTGGTCCTCAAAGCGTATTGCAGAATAACCTTTGTCGTATACTATAATACATCTATTCAGCTGTTTGTTAAAGCACTTCAGTGATTTGCCCCACTCTGCAATGCACAGGCAGGTAGCAGACATTTCTTCTTTGTCATTTGAATGAGGAAGATAAATAAGACTGGAAGATAGGTCAGACCCTGGGTATGTGGCTCTGTATTCCAATTTCACTTTCTAAGGTAAGTAATTTTGCCTTACAATGCTCATTGCCAGACATTTGAAGCCTATGCTGTAATGGGAAGCACTTATCTTATCCTAAACGATATTATAACCGCGATCGATAATAGACAGTACTGTGCAGCCGTCTTCATCGACCTGGCCAAGGCTTTCGACTCTGTCAACCACCGCATTCTTATTGGCAGACTAAATAGCCTTGGTTTCTCAAATGACTGCCTCGCCTGGTTCACCAACTACTTCTCAGATAGAGTTCAATGTGTCAAATCGGAGGGCCTGTTGTCTGGACCTATGGCAGTCTATATGGGGGTGCCACAGAGTTCAATTCTTGGGCCGACTCTTTTCTCTGTGTATATCAATGATGTCGCTCTTGCTGCTGGTGACTCTCAGATCCACCTCTACGCAGACGACACCATTTTGTATACATCTGGCCCTTCATTGGACACTGTGTTAACAAACCTCCAAACGAGCTTCAATGCCATACAACACTCCTTCAGTAGCCTCCAACTGCTCTTAAACACTAGTAAAACTAAATGCATGCTCTTCAATCGAACGCTGCTGGCACCCGCCCACCCGACTAGAATCACTACTCTTGACGGGTCTGACCTAGAGTATGTTGACAACTACAAATACCTAGTTGTCTGGTTAGACTGTAAACTCTCCTTCCAGACTCACATTAAGAGTCTCCAATCCAAAGTTAAATCTAGAATCGGCTTCCTATTTCACAACAAAGCCTCCTTCACTCATGCTGCCAAACATGCCCTCGTAAAACTGACTATCCTACCGATCCTTGACTTCGGCGATGTAATTTACAAAATAGCCTCCAACACTCTACTCAGCAAATTGGATGTAGTCTATCACAGTGCCATCCGTTTTGTCTCCAAAGCCCCATAAACTACCCACCATTGTGACCTGTACGCTCTTGTTGGCTGGTCCTCACTACATGTTCGTCGTCAAACCCACTGGCTCCAGGCCATCTATAAATCACTGCTAGGCAAATCCCCGCCTTATCTTAGCTCATTGGTCACCATAGCAACAACCACCCGTAGTATGCGCTCCAGCAGGTATATCTCACTGGTCATCCCCAAAGACAACATCTCCTTTGGCCGCCATTCCTTCCAGTTCTCTGCTGCCAATGACTGGAACGAATTGCAAAAATCACTGAAGCTGGAGACTCTTATCTCCCTCACTAACTTTAAGCATCAGTTGTCAGAGCACCTTACCGATCACTGCACCTGTACACAGCCCATCTGAAATTAGCCCACCCAACTACCTCATCCCTATATTGTTATTTATTTTGCTCATTTGCACCCCAGTACCTCTATTTGCACATAATCTCTTGCACATCTATCATTCCAGTGTTAATACTAATTGTAATTATTTTGCACTATAGCCTATGTATTGCCTTACCTCCATAACTTGCTACATTTGCACACACTGTATATATATTTTCTGTTGTATTTTTTGACTTTAATGTTTTTTTTTTACCCCATATGTAACTCTGTGTTGTTGTTTTTATCGCACTGCTTTTCTTTATCTTGGCCAGGTCGCAGTTGCAAATGAGAACTTGTTCTCAACTGGCTTACCTGGTTAAATAAAGGTTTAAAAAAATATATATATATCTGTTCACTCCAGAGCACAAAGCACAGGGACATTTACATCACACACTGGGTAAAGAAACCGGGAATATAGTATAAAACACTTAGCTTCTCCTTCTTCCCCTCTCTGGATCTCTTACTTTTGTAATTCTGTCACACGCACACACGCTGTCTCTCGCTCTCTCTCTCTCTTGTCTGTCCCTCTAAGGGAAAGTGGATTATGCAGAGTTCAGAGGTCGCTGTCTGCTCCTCCAGTTCATCTCTATGAAAAATCGATGACTCTCCTTCAGTAACTGCAGAGTTCAAAGTAACACCTTTCACTCCGCGCTGAGAGACACCCAATGTTTACTAAACACTGCACTAGCTTAGTCTAATGTCCTCACTCTGATACAATGAATACACCTCTAGTATGTAAGTCAAACAGGGTGATCAGTTAAAAACTAGGCATCCATCACCTCTACCATCATTATAAAGTAAGTCAATAGTGCTTTCACTGCATACATAAAGTAAAAATATGAAACATTCGCTGTTATTATTCAAAGAATATAATATGATTTGTTTAATCTTTTTTGTTTTCACATTTGGCACATTTCAATGGATTGCAATGAGATGAAGGATTGGGGGCATTAATTTGTAAAGCAACAAAGCTGTGAGTGTGTCATAAGTGCGGTGCTAACGTCAAAACACAAACACAGTAGAGCTTTGCGCTTTTGAAGCTTGATTCTTTTATATTATTAAAGCAATTTTATACACAGCAAACCTGTGTTGAGGGCAGTCGATGGCATCCAAATGAACAAATCAGCTCTTGGGTTTGGGGTAAGGTTTAGTTTGGAAGGGTGGCATACATCCATGATGGCAGTAGCATGTAATCAATTTATAAAAATGTTTGACTTTTTTCACACATCAAAGCCATGTTTTTATTTACTTTTTGTGGGGTGAGGTGGCAAGGGGGTTTGTAGTTTTGATGTTCGTACTTCATGTTTTCAGACAGTAAAGGCGTAAGGTATCGGCATAGGTAGAAACAACAATAGCAGCATTTTGGAACCAGCTAACGCTTGCTGAACGCAAAGCCAGAGAGCGTGAGTGAATAGAGGAGCAGTATCAGGAATGTGCGAGGAGTCTTTAGCAGTCCTCTATGTGAGGAATGTCTCTTTAAGGTTGGTTTCATATAGGGTGGGAACAGTGTCTTTAGAATGTGTCTTTAGCAGAGTCACATAATGGCTCAGTGTTTGTTCTTACTGGCATAAGGTGAGGTGAAACTTGTGAGGAGTCTGTCCAGATCTTTTGGCCAAGGTCGACCTTATCTACGACTCAGTTCTTCTTCTTGCTGGTCTTCTCGATCATGGTCTCCACCACCATTGCCGTCTCCTCATAGCCATAGCCCTTCGTCTTGCGGTCGTTGGAGAACTTTTCCACTGACTCCACCAGCTCCACCTTTTCGTAGCTCATGGAGTCAGGGGGCATGCTGCTAGCGCTGCGGGGGGAGGGCATGGGAGGAGGGCCCCTGCGGCGACTGTCGTCTTTACCCCCCTTGGGTCCGGAGGGATTGCTGGGGCCTTTGGGGTTAGGGCCAGGAGCTGGGGCAGGGTTGGGCTGTGGGGGGGGACTAGGGTCCTTAGGCCTAGGCTCGGGGTCTCCGCCCCTAGATTTCTCCTTCCCACCACCTTTTCCGCCCTTATCGTCTCCCTTTCCCCCCTCTCCGTCAGAGGGTGGGGTGGGGGTACGGGGGCCAGGGGGTGGCATAGGCTGGGGATGAGGGGGGTTGGGGGAGGGGGTGTAGGGGCCGAAGGGGTCATAAGGGGAGACCATGCCGTTGCGGATGGTGACGAAGACGTGTCCGGCGGAGGGGCTGGAGGTGTAGAAGTGGGGGTGGAGGTAGCTGCCATCGCCAGTCACCAGCACATAGCGCCCCTTGGTGTAGAAGTCAGCAATTGGCTCTGGCTTCTTGTACCTTCTCATTCGGTCTCTGACAATGTTACAAAGTGTGTCGAAGGCTTTGCTGATCTGAGCCCCGTCTGGCACGTCCTGGGGTGTGTAAAGTGACCTCTGCTCCTCCCTCTTCAACTCGCCTTCCTCCCCTGCCACCCCTCGCTTCTCATCCTCCATGTGTTCAGCTCCACCAACTCTCTCCTCCTGGCCGCTGTCCATCACATCTTTGGGGCTGATCTCCTTCTTCTTCAGGACCTTCTTGGCCATGTTCTTCTGGCGAGGCTTGACACTGGTGATGTCCTGAATGGCTTGGGTGATGTCTGGAGACAACAAAACAACAATACACTCAGATTGTCCTTTTGGATGTGGCAGATAAAATAAACATATAAGACATAACATTCTAAATACATTATCCAAGGAGGATAGTACCCCCACGGGACCATGGTCATCATTATCTGCCATGAATAGACCTTAAGGAGGATCTATTCTGTTTTTTGTTTTATGGTCTTTGTCTCTGAGTGGGTAGGAAACACACCACTGTGTGGCTGTATACATTAGGGCTAGTGTGGTTGTAGCCTATGATGACGATGGGGTGTTATGTGTCTGCTCTGTATGTATGGAGACTATCCGTGTGAAGCAGCTGTGGAATGAGACGTGGCATGTCCTCACCTCTGCCCCTGCTCGACACAGTGGGTGTGTGGGTGTAGCGGTAATTGGTGGTGAACAAGGTAATGGGCGTCCCAATTATTGCTGAATTCAACCTGTGGAAGAGAATGATGAAGAAATGTTAGTTGCCACCACAGCAACAGCATGTGATAGTGTATTTGTATGTGTTAGTAATAAACACTATACTAATGATAGTAATGTGTATTCTAAGATACATTCCTTTGTCTTTTTTTAAATTACACTGAACAAAAATATAAACGTGACATGCAACAATTTCAAAGATTTTACTGAGTTACAGTTCATATAAGGAAATTGATCAATCTAAATATATTCATTAGGCTCTAATCTATGGATTTCATGACTGGGAATACAGATACACTACATGACCAAAGTATGTGGACACCTGCTCGTCGAACATCTCATTCCAAAATCATGGGCATTAATATAGAGTTGGTCCCCCCTATAATAAACCTCCACTCTTTTGGGAAGGCTTTCCACTAGATGTTGGAACATTGCTGAGCGGACTTGCTTCCATTCAGCCACAAGAGAATTAGTGAGGTCGGGCACTGATGTTGGGCGATCAGGCCCGGGTCGCAGTCAGTGTTCCAATTCATCCCAAAGGTGTTCAATGGGGTTGAAGTCAGGGCTCTGTCAGGCCAGTCAAGCTCTTCCAAACCGATCTCAACAAACCATATCTGTATGGACTTCGCTTTGTGCACGTGGGCATTCTCATGCTGAAACTTTTTTGCCACAAAGTTGGAAGTACAGAATCGTCTAGAATGTCATTGTATGCTGTAGCGTTAAGATTTCCCTTCACTGGAACTAAGTGGGGGCCTGCCCCGAACCATGAAAAACAGCCCCTGACCATTATTCCTCCTCCACCAAACTTTACAGCCGGCACTATGCATTGGGGCAGGTAGCGTTCTCCTGGCATCCGCCAAACCCAGATTAATCCGTTGGACTGCCAGATGGTGAAGCGTGATTCATCACTTCAGAGAACGTGTTTCCACTGCTCCATAGTCCAATGGCAGCGAGCTTTACACCACTCCAGCCAACGCTTGGCATTGCGCATTGGTGATCTTAGGCTTGTGTGCGGCTGCTCGGCCATGGAAACCCATTTCATTGGAAAGGTGGCATCCTATGACGGTGCCACATTGAAAGTCACTGAGCTCTTCAGTAAGGCCATTCTACTGCCAATGTTTGTCTATGGAGATTGCATGGCGGTGTGCTCGATTTTATACACCTGTCAACAATTGGTGTGGCTGATATAGCCGAATCCACTAATTTGAAGGGGGTCCACATACTTTTGTCTATGTAGTTTATGCATCTGTTGGTCACAGATACATTTTATAAAAGGTAGGGGCGTTGATCATGCAGCGCGACACATCTCCTTCGCATAGAGTTGATCAGGCTGTTGATTTTGGTCTGTGGAATGTTGTCCAACTCCTCTTCAATGGCTGTGCGAAGTTGCTAGATATTGGTGGGAACTGGAACATGCTGTTGTACACATCAATCCAGAGCATCCCAAACATACTCAATGGGTGACATGTCTGGTGAGTATGCAGACCATGGAAGAAGTGGGACATTTTCAGCTTCCAGGAATTGTGTACAGATCCTTGCGACATGGGGCCGTGCATTATCATGCTGAAACATGAGGCGATGGCGGCGGATGAATGGCACAAAAATGGGCCTCAGGATATCATCATGGTATCTCTGTGCATTCAGAATGCCATCGATAAAATGCAATTGTGTTCGTTGTCCGTAGCTTATGAGTGCCCAAAACATAACCCCACTGCCACCACGTGGCACTGTTCACAAAGTTGACATCAGCAAACCGCACGCCCACACGACGCCATACATGCTGTCTGCCATCTGCCTGATACAGTTGAAACCGGGATTTGTCCGTGAAGAGGACACTTCTCCAGAGTGCCAGTGGCCATCGAAGGTGAGCATTTGCCCACTGAAGTCGGTTACCAAGCCGAACTGCTGTCAGGTCAAGACCCTGGTGAGGACGACGAGCACGCATATGTGCTTCCCTGAGACAGTTTCTGACAGTTTGTGCAGAAATTCTTTGGTTGTGCAAACCCACAGTTTCATCAGCTGGCTGGTCTCACACTATCCCGCAGGTGAAGAAGCTGATGTGGAGGTCCTGGGCTGGCGTGGTTACACGTGGTCTGCGGTTGTGAGGCCTGTTGGACATACTGCCAAATTCTCTAAAACGATGTTGGAGGCGGCTAATGGTAGAGAACTTAACATTCAATTATTTGGCAACAGCTCTGGTGGACATTCATGTAGTCAGCATACCAATTGCACATACCCTCAAAACTTGAGACATCTGTGGCATTGTGTTGTTTGACAAAACTGCACATTTTATAGTGGCCTTTTATTTTCCCCAGCAGAAGGTGCACCTGTGTAATGATCATGCTGTTTAATCAGCTTCTTGATATGCCACACCTGTTAGGTGGATGGATTATCTTGGCAAAGGAGAAATGATAATTGACAGGGATGTAAACACATTTGTGCACAACATTTGAGAGAAATACGTTTTTTGTGCATATAGAACATTTCTTTGATCTTTTATTTCAGCTCATGAAACATGGGACCAACACTTTACATGTTGCATTTATATTTTTGTTCAGTATACTTTGCGATTTTTGCATTGTGAGACTGACAAGAAAACATGTTAATACAGTAAACAAAAGAAAGATCAGGCGATATTAAAGGGGATTAAATAATACATAAAAAATAAATAACACTATGAAAAGATATTCAACCATTATCGAACAAATCTGTGAGGTGGAAAACACACAAATATAATATCCCAAACTGCCGCCATGTGGTTGATACAGTATATTATACTACCGGATTGCCAAGAGACAATACGCTGAAGTGCTGCCTACATCCAGTAGCAGTAGGATGCTGATCACTGTGTGTTGTGGTTAGAAAATTACCTGTTGTCCTCGTTCTCGATGATCCTCTTGTACCTCTCCAGCTCATTCTCCAGTGAGGTCTGGTACATGGCCAGGTGGCGGCACTCATTTGTGTATTTCTCCAGGGATCTCTCGGCTTCCTCAATGTCCTTCCTCAGAGACTCAATCTGCTCGTTGTACAGTTGGATCTCATCGTCATAGCTCTCCTGGGTGCTCTTGATGGAACTCTCCAACACTGACGTCTGACATAGACAGACAGACAGACAGACAGACAGACGGATGGATGGAGAGATACTGTAAACTGCTTCTTAAAACGAAACGGAATGTATTTCATATTTCCATTAAGAGTTATGCTAATGACAACCAAACTTAAAGGGATAGTTCACCCAAATTACAAAATGACATATTGGTTTCCTTACCCTGTAAAGCCTCTATGGTCAAGGTATGACAGCAATCCATGCATTGGTTTAGTTTCCCTGGCACTGTTTCCAAATGCTAACGTTTTAGCATTTGTGGCACAAATCCCATTCAAGTCATGACCTATTAGCAATCTTTACGCATCATGTCCAAAACATCCGAAAGTCTCTAAAATTGATTGTGAAGCTTACTAAAGTCACTTAAAGATCATTGGAACATCAGCATTTGGAAACAGTGCCAGCCACTGCCAGGGAATCTAAACCAAAGCATGGATTGCTGTCATACTTAGTCCAAAGACTGCTAACAGGGAAACAGGAAACCAACGTGTCATTTTGTAATTTGGGTGAACTATCCCTTACATTTTCTGCCTAACTCTGATTATTTATTTTTGTGGTCCTTTGTAGCTCAGTTGGAATAGATTTAACATTTTAGTCATTTAGCAGACGCTCTTATCCAGAGCGACTTACAGTTAGTGAGTGCATACATTTTTCATACTAGCATGGACTTGTATTGCCAAGGTAGTGGGTTCGATTCCTGGGACCACCCATACGGAAAAGTGTCTGCTAAATGGCATATATTTATGCAATCATTGTCATTCTTGCATCTGAATTAACTTCAGTTGAAGGATTACTGTGGTCACTGAACTACCACATGTGCCAGCTGTCTGGCTATACAAAGACTGAATAAATCAGAACTTTTGTCAAGAGAAACTCATGACTACTGTACTGTCTGAGGACGTTGTGGAGACAGCTCTAGTACTGCAAAGGTGTTCAACACACGTTTTGAACCTTTCATGGCAACCTGTCTCGCATTGAAAATTGAATCTTTAGAGTCTTTAGAGAAATATGTGATAATTTATTTCTGTAAAATGTTTAGATTTCTTGCAACAATTATATTCAAAAATGTTAAAATAAAAAGTATTTCAGTTATAGAACACCATTTGAAAACCTTTTTTCTAGGGAACACAGACAGCTATGAGGTACAAGCTACAGAAAATGAACAAAGTGAAAAGCATAATTTGGGAGTAAAGCTGAGGTATGTCTTCAGTAATAATCTGTAGGAACAAAACAAAACTAATTTGAAGGGATGTTCATCTAATATATTATTAAATTGATTCACAACCTTTGAGAAAATAAACATGGACTTTTGGATGTTTGATGTCGGCATTGAGAGTCCTTTTTTCTATGTCTTATTTTGTACTAATATTTCTCGTTTTCTAAGAGATACACCTGTATTTTCCTGCTTCTCTGTAGCTTTTATCACCTTTACCCACTGATCTGAAGGTGATGACTGGCACCTACTGGCACCCCTTTGCAACTACAACCAATTTACAGTATGTACTGTACTCCATGGGTACATCTCAACTGTCTACCTCAAGTAAAGCGGCTACCTCATCTCCCTTCCTGACTAATATGCATAGGGGGTAGGGCCTAGGGTTTGATTTGGAGTGGGACACTTTCAAACACTTGAGCTTGATATGCTTCCTAAATTGTCATAGTGACGGAGACAGGGACCTACCTCGTACTGCAGACGCTGCTTCTGTGCTTGGAGCTGGCAGAGGGCGCTCTTGAACTCCTCTAGCTGACTCTTCAGGGCTGGAACTCTCATCTGGGCCAGTTGCTTCTCCTGCTCCTTCACACAGAGGTAAGTCAGGCCAGTTATAACACATAGAGATCACACAGAGGGACCACAGGCCAGTTATAACACATAGAGATCACACAGACAAGACAGGCCAGTTATATTACACACTGAACAACTAGACAGGCATTCAAAACGTACAGTATTTTGCAGTGCTTTACTTGCAACTTCAAAGACAGACAAGCAAACAGCTTACAGACTAACTGACAGCATCAGCATACTTTCTGCAGAGCGACAACATGACACACAGAGCTCGGATGACCTGTCAAAACACACAGAAGCTTATTATAAAAGGCAGTCAAACTTCACAGAAATGTCAGTACACCTCAACACATTGGAACACATTTGAACGCATCACAATACATTTTCCAGTCACGGACACACGGTTATCCACAAAGTTCTGCACACGTAGCTGGTTCCACTGGCCGTCTTTGCGGCCCTATTGTTATCTGGTCTGACACCCCTGGTCTGAATCAGCTGGTTCCCCTGGACACAGACAGACGCATGTGAAAGGGGGAGACCTTACCTCAGAGGTGCCCACGGCCACATTGGGCACCAGGTGTATCGTCTGGTTGATCTGGTGCAGGATGTTCACGTAGGTCTGCATCTCTGACAGGTTCTACGGGGGGAGATATTTCCCAATAAATTATTTGACCCTGGACTCCACATACGCAGTGCACAAAACACTGAGGAAAATAAAGGTAAATGTCATACAGGGTGGGTGTATTTCATAAGGTTGGGATTAGAGTACAGTACACAATGTCTATGTACTCTAATCGACCACCCTTTCTTTCCTAATCAAATCCTATTATTTTACCCATGTGACAGAATTGGTCAAATGAAGATCCTACATTTGAAGTTGAAAGGTGGTATGCTATGCACACTCTATCGGTTTCCTTTGCAATACATCTGATTTATAAATGTACAGTATAAAGGCAGAATGAGTTCATAATAGATTGCAGGTGATGTGTACAGTGCATTCGAAAGTATTCAGACCCCTTGATTGTCACATTACAGCCTTATTCTAAAATTGATTAAAACATTTTTTTTCCCTCATCAATCTACACACAATACCATATAATGACAAAGCAAAAACAGGTTTCTAGAAATATTAGCAAATTCATAAAAAATAAAAAAACTGAAATATTACATTTACATAAGTATTCAGACCCGTTGCTATGAGACTCGAAATTGAGCTGAGGCGCATCCTGTTTCCATGTATCATCCTTGAGATGTTTCTAAAACTTGATTGGAGTCCACCTGTGGTCAATTAAATTGATTGGACATGATTTGGAAACGCACACACCTGTCTATATAAGGTCCCACAGTTGACAGTGCAGGTCAGAGCAAAAACCAACCCATGAGATCGAAGGAATTATCCGTAGAGCTCCGAGACAGGATTGTGTCGAGGCACAGATCTGGGGAAGGGTACCAAAAAATGTCTGCAGCATTGAAGGTCCCCAAGAACACAGTGGCGTCCATCATTCTTAATTGGAAGAAGTTTGGAACCACCAAGACTCTTCCTAGAACTGTCCGCCCGGCCAAACTGAACAATTGGGGGAGAAGGTCCTTGGTCAGGGAGGTGACCAAGAACCCGATGGTCACTTTGACAGAGCTCCAGAGTTCCTCTGTGGAGATGGGAGAACCTTCCAGAAGGACAACAATATCTGCAGCACTCCATCAATCAGGCCTTTATGGTAGAGTAGCCAGACAGAAGCCACTCCTCAGTAAAAAGCAGATGACAGCCTGCTTGGAGTTTGCCAAAAGCCACCTAAAGGACTCTCACACCATGAGAAACAAGATTCTCTGGTCTGATGAAACCAATATTGAACTCTTTGGCCTGAATGCCAAGCGTCACGTCTGGAGGAAACCTGACACCATCCCTATGGTGAAGCATGGTGGTGGCAGCATCATGCTGTGGGGATGTTTTTCAGTGGCAGGGACTTGGAGACTAGTCAGGATCGAGGGAAAGATTAATGGCGCAAAGTACTGCTCCAGAGCACTCAGGACCTCAGACTGGGGGCGAAGGTTCACCTTCCAAAAGGACAACGACCCTAAGCACACAGCCAAGACCACTCAGGAGTGGCTCCGGGACAAGTCTCTGAATGTCCTTGAGTGGCCCAGCCAGAGCCCGGACTTGAACCCGATCTAACATCACTGGAGAGACCTGAAAATAGCTGTGCAGCGACACTCCCTATCCAACCTCACAGAGCTTGAGAGGATCTGCAGAGAAGAATGAGAGATACAGGTGTGCCAATCTTGTAACGTCATACCCAAGAAGACTCAAGCCTGTAATCGCTGCCAAACGTGCTTTAAGAAAGTACTGAGTAAAGGGTCTGAATACTTATGTAAATGTGATTATTTTTTTCTTATTTTTTATACATTTGCAAAAATGTCTAAAAACCTGTTTTTTCTTTGCCATTATGGGGTATTGTGTGCAGATTGATGAGGGGGAAAAAACAATGTAATCCATTTTAGAATAAGGCTGTAACGTAACAAAATGTGGAAAAAGTCAATGGGTCTGAATACTTTTCCGAATGCACTGTATGTTGTACACCTCTTACCTTCCTGTGTCTGTCTTTGGTGGAATTGATGTCATCCTGAAGGAACTGGGACTGGATCTGAAATTCCAGGTTCCTGAGCAGGGTATGGTCAGCTTCCTGAGAAGCAGATATGAGAAACAATTTTAATTCAGTTCCATCATCACACTGTATTGTCCTGATCTCATAAGCTTTGTCTCACAGACCACAGTCCTACCAGGGTTGCAGTTACACACTTTAATTATGATTCTAACACTCTGGACAAAGCTTGTAGGTTATTAACCAGATGATATAACACATACTTTTTTTGTGCCACATTGCAAAGCCCCTTTCATGCACAGGGGTATGCAGAAAACGTTACTCACAATGTTTTTTATGGCTAGGCCGCTAATAATGCAGCATGACAGTTTAGCAGTTTTATAGCAGTTTAGCACATTATGGGAGGTTTCCCGGAAACATATTAGGCTTAGTCCTGGACTAAAAAGCAAGCTCAATGGAGCATGTCCATCAAAAATAAATGTTAGTCCAGGACTAGGCTTAATCTGTGTCCGGGAAACCGCCCCTATTTGTGTATTTTAACTAAAGAAAGAATCAGTCACATTTTTCATAATAAAAACAAACAAAAAACTGGGAAATTGTCATAAGTCTCACACATATACCTTGTTGAGTTGTTCCAATGTACCCCGCAGCTGTTGTTGATACTCACATTCATTTCTGTATCTGTGGAGGAGAAAACATAAATCACAAAACATAAATTCAGGAATTCCACAATTATGTGTGGCCTAACTTTTATTAATCTGTTATTTACACAAGTTTGTGTGTTGAGCACATAACATGTTTGATTTTCTTCTATAGGGCATTTCTGTCTTTACAATGTCTGTATTGATTAACTATTCATTGTCCTTAATCAACCTGGCTCCCTTTGAGAGCACTTGAAATGTCTGTTGGTTACCTTTTTTCAGCACACAACCACCTGTGCAGCATTCATCTAAATCCTCTCTTGGTGTTAGAATTTAGAAATCCATGACACTTACCATGACTGATCTCACAGCAGCTGCTGATTTCCAAGGCAATAAACACCTTTATTGAAGACAAACTTTTAGCAGGTGGACAATTTATCACAGAGGTAAGATCAGGTTATCTGGAAGCCTTCACCAGCATAAAAACAGTTTACACTGCATCTGGTCTAGAGAAGGACACCTGTTTATGCAGGGTGGCCTATACACACTTTCCTTCTCTCTGACCCACACATCCGTTTAAGAAAAACACATAAGCCTACTGACTCACACACAAACACATGCACTTACACTTTCAAAGGCAAGGACATCACTTACTTGTTGGTGAACTCGTCCAGCATGCGGCATGCGTCCTTCAGCTCACGCTCAAGCTTGGCATGGTCCGCGGAGAGGTCGCGGATGCGCTGCCGGTTCAGGCCAATCTGTTCGGTAAAGGCCTCCTCAAGGCCGCTGGCCTCCTCCATCCGCTGCAGCGTCTCTAGCTGCTTGCGGAACACGGAATTGCGCTGCTCCAGCACACGTGCCCGGTTAATATAGCGGGCGAAGCGGCTGTTGAGCTCCTGCAGGCTCTCCCAGCCCTGGATGGCTGAGGTGCCCGCCGATGCATCAGGTCCGTAGGGCTCCTCAAAGACATCGGAACGCTCATACTTCTCCTTGCGCACCTCGCGCAGGTAACTGGTCTTGTACATGGTGGTGGTGGTCGCTATCCCGCTGCCTCGGTTGGTGTTATCCCCGGAGTGCGTTCTTCCCTGCGGCACCTTTAGTGTGTGAAAACTCGGGTGCTCACCCTCGGCTGTCTCATGCTAGACTAAAGGCTGCCTGGCCCTGGGTGACTACGAAATAGACACCCAAAAATCTCCCGCTGGCCTGTTCCCACGCAAGCCTCAAGCCTTCCAGAGTTTGTTAGCCTTTGTGGCTGACATTACAAAAGCTCTGCCAATGATGACCGAGCGAAAATACAAAAACAAACAAAAGGCAGGCGAGGGGGAATATTGCTGTGTCAAATGGACCATTATAAGAAGCCCCTTTGTTTCCAATCAACCGTTTTTCTAGATCTCTGTTTGAGGGAATGCTGGACCATGGCCTAGGTTTACCACATGACAAAGTGGAAATAGCATGCTGTGCAGTCTGTTACAGGCCATATACAATTACTAATGTGCCAAAAGTAGGCTACCCTAGAGAGTCCAAGAGCAGATTTGAGCTCTGTTGTTCTCCTTATTATAGCCTACATCGGAAAGACCAGGGATGGTTGTAACAGGGGATAGTTGCAGTGTTGGCTGGCCCATTAGTTCACCAATTGGTCAACAACAACAACAAAAAACTGTATATATATATATATATATATATATATATATATATATATATATATATATACACAGTACCAGTCAAAAGTTTGGACACACCAACTAATATCTATATTTTTTTACTATTTTCTACATTGTAGAATAATAGTGAAGACAACAACACTATTAAATAACACATATGGAATCATGTCGTAACCAAAAAAGTGTTAAACAAATCAAAATATATTTTCTATTTGACATTCTTCAAAGGAGCCACCCATTGCCTTGATGACAGCTTTGCACACTCTTGGCATTCTCTCAACCAGCTTCATGAGGGATGCTTTTCCAACAGTCTTGAAGGAGTTCCCACATATGCTGAGCACTTGTTGGCTGCTTTTCCTTCACTCAGCAGGCCAACTCATCACAAACCATCTCAATTGGGTTGAGGTCGGGTGTTTGTGGAGGCCAGGTCATCTGATGCAGCACTCCGTCACTCTCCTTCTTGGTGAAATAGCCCTTACACAACCTGGAGGTGTGTTTTGGGTCAATGTCCTGTTGAAAAACAAATTATAGTCCCACTAAGCGCAAACCAGATGGGATGGCGTATCGCTGCAGAATGCTGTGGTAGCCATGCTGGTTAAGTGTGCCTTGCATTTGAAATAAATCACCAACAGTGTCACCAGTAAAACACCCCCACACCATCACACATCATCCTCCATGCTTCACAGCGGGAACCACACATGCGGAGATCATCTGTTCACCTACTCTGCGTCTCACAAAGACACGGCGGTTGGAACCAAAAATATCATACTTGGACTCATCAGACCAAAGGACCGATTTCCACTGGTCTAATGTCCATTGCTCGTGTTTCTTGGCCCAAGCAAGTCTCTTCTTATTATTGGTGTACTTTAGTAGTGGTTTCTTTGCAGCAATTCGACAATGAAGGCCTGATTCACACAGTGTCCTCTGAACAGTTGATGTTGAGATGTGTTAATTGAACTCTGTGAAGCATTTATTTGGGCTGCAATTTCTGAGGCTGGTAACTCTAATTAACTTATCCTCTGCAGCAGAGGTAACTCTGGGTCTTCCTTTCCTGTGGCGGTCCTCATGAGAGCCAATTTTATCATAGCACTTGATGGTCTTTGTGACTGCACTTGAAGAACCTTTCAAAGTTCTTGACATTTTCCTGATTGACTGACCTTCATGTTTTAAAGTAATGATGGATTGTCGTTTCTCTTTGCTTATTTGAGCTGTTCTTGCCATAGTATGGACTTGGTCTTTTAACAAATAGGGCTATCTGCTGTATACCACCCCTACCTTGTCACAACACAACTGATTGGCTCAAAGGCATTAAGACGGAAAGAAATTCCACAATTAACATCTAACAAAGCACACCTGTTAATTGAAATGCATTCCACCTAATGAAGCTGGTTGAGAGAATGCCAAGACTGTGCAAAGCTGTCATCAAGGCAATGGGTGGCTCCTTTGAAGAATGTCAAATAGAAAATATATTTTGATTTGTCTAACACTTTTTTTGGTTACTACATGATTCCATATGGGTTATTTCATAGTTGTGATGTCTTCACTATTATTCTACAACGTAGAAAACAGTAAAAATAAAGAAAAACCCTGGAATGAGTAGGTGTGTCCAAACTTTTGACGGGTACTGTTAAGTATTCAGACCCTTTGCTATGAGACTCGAAATTGAGCTCAGATGCATCCTGTTTCAATTTATCATCCTTGAGATGTTTCTACAACTTGATTGGAGTCCACGTGTGGTAAATTCAATTGATTTGACATGATTTGGAAATGCACAAACCTGTCTACATAAGGTCCAACAGTTGACTGTGCATGTTAGAGCAAAAACCAAGCCATGAGGTCGAAGGAATTGTCCGCAGAGCTCAGAGACAGGATTGTGTCGAGGCACAGATCTGGGGAAGGACACCCAAAAATGTCTGCAGCATTGAAGTTCCCCAAGAACACATTGGCCTCCATCATTCTTAAATGGAAGAAGTTTGGAACCCCCAAGACTGTTCCTAGAGCTATCCACCAGGCCAAACTGTGCAATTGGGGGAGAAGGGCCTTTGTCAGAGAGGTGACCAAGAACCCGATGGTCACTCAGAAGTAGCTCCAGAGTTCCTCTGTGAAGATGGGAGAATCTTCCAGAAGGAAAACCATCTCTGCAGCACTCCACCAATCAGTCCTTTATGGTAGAGTGGCCAGATGGAAGCCTCTCCTCAGTAAAAGGCACATGACAGCGCGCTTGGAATTTTACAAAAGGCACCTAAAGAGAAACAAGATTCCCTGGTCTGATGAAACCAATATTGAACTCTTTGGCCTGAATGCCAAGCGTCACGTCTGGAGGAAACCTGGCACCATCCCTACGCTGAAGCATGGTGGTGGCAGCATTATGCTGTGGGGTATTTTTCAGCGGCAGGGACTGGTAGACTAGTCTGGATCAAGGGAAAGATGAACGGAGCAAAGTACAGAGAGATCCTTGATGAAAACCTGCTCCAGAGCGCTTAGGACCTCAGACTGGGGCAAAGGTTCACCTTCCAACAGGACAACGACACTAAGCACACAGCCAAGACAACACAGGAGCGGCTTCGGGACAAGTCTCTGAATGTCCTTGAGTGGCCCAGCCAGAGCCCGGAATTGAACCCAATCGAACATCTCTGGAGAGACCTGAAAATAGCTGTGCAGCGACGCTCCCCATCCAACCTGACAGAGCTTGAGAGGATTGCAGAGAATGGGAGGAACTCCCCAAATACAGGTGTACCAAGCTTGTATCGTCATACCCAAGAAGACTCGAGGCTGTAATCGCTGCCAAAGGTGCTTCAACAAAGTACTAAGTAAAGGGTCTGAATACTTATGTAAATTTGATATTTCATTTTTTGTTAAATAATTTTGAACACAATTCTAAAAACCTGTTTTTGCTTTGTCATTATGGGGTATTGTTTGTAGATTGATGAGGGAAAAAAATGATTTCATAAATTTTAGAATAAGGCTTTAAAGTAACAAAATGTGGAAAAAGACAAGTGGTCTGAATACTTTCCGAATAGACTTTATATATATTCTCCGGACTCCGACATTGCTCCTCCTAATATTTATTTTACTTTTTATATTTGTGTGTATTGTTGTGTACTGTTAGATATTTTCTACACTGTTGGAGCTAGGAACACAAGCATTTTGCTACCCCCGGAATTAAACATCTGCTAAATATGTGTATGCGACCACTAAAATTTGATTTGAAAAAAATATATATATATGATAATCTCCAATGGTAATAATGAATGGTGGAAAAACTATTGGAACCTTTTCCTTGTTTGGCCGCTAGGTTTTATGAGTATTATGACTCATACTGTGGTACTCTATTGTGTTTAGGCCAGTGACTCAAAATCTCAATTTAATCCATTTTAAATTCAGGCTGATTGGGCGGCAGGTAGTTTAGTGGTTAAGAGCGTTGTGCCAGTAACCGAAAGGTCGCTGGTTCTAATCCCCGAGCCGACTAGGTGAAAAATCTGTCGATGTGCCCTTGAGCAAGGCACTTAATCCTAATTGCTCATGTAAGTCGCTCTGGATAAGAGCGTCTGCTAAATGATTAAAATGTAAAATGTAAATGTAAACAAAATGTGGGAAAAGTCAAGGGCTGTGAATTAGGGATGAATATTTTCCTGAAAACCTACCAAGTTTCAATACCGGGAATATTTAATATTTATCCCCAGAGTCCTGGGAAATACCACAAAAATCAGAAATGGCCATTTAAAGCGTTTAAAACCAAGATATGGTCACTATGCCAGGGTTCTCCCCAAATAAGAGAGGCACTGCGCCAACTTGTCGGCTTGGCTGTGCCACTATGTAAATATTTCAGAGCAAATGAAACCGATATTTAGTCATTAATAAAGAGTAATTATCTTTGATCGCCAATGACATTGTTTTGAATTGCGAAACAGGCCGTTCATAATTTCCGGGCATTATCACGTACCTCAATTAATTCAGCGCATTTCAGCAGTAGGCTATCTCAACATAGCCGACTAACCTTAACTCCACGATTTACGATGGAGTTCAGGGCCGACCAGTGTGGGCGGACTGGAGCTCCAACTTAACATAAAATTAAGTTTTTATAAATAATGAGTGATTTCCGCACCCAAAGAATAGCCCGCAATTACACAGAACAATGCAGTTTCTAATTGCGGGCTTCTCCGCTCCTAGCCTTCAGTGCGCACCTGCGCTTGCGTAGCAAGCCTTGCGTGCAGACAGATGCTCCTGACTCGGCGCGCTCCAACTCCAAAAAGCTGTAGGCTACAGTTTATTAGTTTAAGGCCTTCTCAATCAGAAATCTTTGTACAAGCAAATTTCATAACAAATAGAGACTGAGATCTAAAAATAATAGTTGTTATATACAGTATCCACCTTCACATCAAAAGTGTTTGCTTCTGTAGACAGGATCAGGGTAATTAAAACAGAAACTCTTAAAACACAGATCTCAAGGATCAGACATACAAACAGACAGACTGATTGGCTGCCATCTTGGATGCAAGAAGGACCTTGGTCATATGGAGATTGGTGTTACTGTAAAATGTGTATTCCTCTATGGAA